TTCCCGTCCGCTCAGCCGTACTTAAGCCACACGCCGGGAGGTTAGTAGTTGGGTGGGTGACCACCAGCGAATCCCTTCTGTTGTATGTTTTTGTGCTTTTTGCATATTTAAAATACCTTAAAGATGGGTAGTAGTACTACTATTCTCTATTCTATCTGAATGCATCAGTTGGAAGTGTATATCAAATGTGAGTGAGTCTGTGTACATTGCGGCGCTTGTCGTGAAGCATTTTCCAAGGACCTGTATTAGCCTGGCAGCCCTCGTGAAACTGACTACAAAGTGCGAGCGGCGTTGCTTCATCATCATAGGAGTACATATTAAGTGCAAATATATCACCAGGATTACATTGAGCCTTGTCGACCATAAGTAGGGTTGGATGTATGAGACCATGCGAGACATCATCACGGGTAATCTAGAAGTATATACACTCGCACCAGGGTTGCGTCTCCACCTAATATGTAACTTCTTCATGATCTGTCACAAACTCAGTTTTCAAGGAATATAATGCAAGCTGGTTCCTGTACTCGACAATTTTTGTGATCGCGTCATACGCCGCTTGGTAGGGAATTCCTCGCATCCTCGCACAGTATAGGAACGAAGCTGTAAGAATATAACCTGCTTTCATGGTTGTGGATTTGTACAGAATTGAAATTGAAAGATGGGCACTATCTTTTCAGTGTCTTTACAGCTAAGTAGATCTATTTTAAATGTCTTACACGCTATGTGAACTTTCATGATACCTTTGAAGAAAGCAACAGTTTATAAATCTGGATACAATTGGCGGTAAAAGTAACTATCAACAGAAACATGTGGACATAACAATGAGTGAAAGATGTTATGTTCACACATAGTACTGAATCACTTGCAGGATTTCCATCACTACATTCATCCCACGCAATCTTCATAAAGTCCTCCCAAGATTCAGTTGCGGCAAGCAGAATACTGTGTGCACTTGATATTATAAAGTTTGATTTTCTGAGCAAGTTGTGAAACAGATCAGCTTGCTGTATGCGGTCCTCATCTTCGAACTTGTCGAGGATTCGTGGTCAACCAACGAGATATTCGTCCTTATAATACATCCGGCGATCCAAGTCATTCTAGCATATATTATATCTAATAATGTCTAGAGGTACTCTAACCTACTTGTCCGACAGTAACCGACTCAGGGCTGTGATCATTGGTAATCTTCGCGATAGGGCCTGACTCGATATACGCCCAAAGGTCATCATTTTGGGCCATGATCACCTTCGTCCCTTTCACGTCTTTTGATTCCACCTGAATATAAATGTTTAAGTAAATAATTTGAAAAAAAAAGAAAAAAAAAAGATGAGACCAGTTCCCTATTTTTAGTTGTAGCCTACTCATTGATGACCCACCGCAATGGTTCAGGCAAAAACGAAGACAATTCTGATAATGAGGCTGAGTCAGACCGCATTGCATTCCAGCCGGAAAAGCACCGCAGGGTGAGGCACAGCGTGCCGATCGCAGCTTTTCGATGGAAAGAATCTCGCTAGTGCTGATACCAAGATCATAACTAGCTCAGAGAAGAGCCTAGCATAACGATGGGATCCTCGCGATGATTTCTCGATGGGGAAATCCTGACGTCCAGCCAATTATAACCGGCCAGGCCTCACTGCCTCAAACCCTGACACCATCAATTTCCTGCCACGAGGCTGAGCAGTTCGTCGCATATAAGGGCCTCAAAATCCGCAACAATGCGATTCTTGTCTCAACCCACACTTACTTCCAACAATGCATTACTCTCGTTCCTCTTTTCTTTTCGGAGCACTGTGTACATTGGGTCTTGCCAGCCCTTTGCCGTCGAGCACAAGCCCTACAGTGCACCTCCGTGATTCCAACGTCTCGTTCAAGGGGACGACGAGCAACTTGACCGAATCCTTCCTCAACATTCGCTTTGGTGAAGACACGAGCGGAAGCAGCCGCTTCGCCCCTCCAAAGCCTTACAACTATCCCTCCGGCTCTGTGGTGAATGCCACTCAGTCCGGTGCAGCTTGTCCCCAGCAAAAGGACCCTATTGCAGACTTTCCCATCTTTGACAATGTCACTTCGATATCTGAGGACTGTTTAACGCTGCGTGTCGACCGGCCACTCAACACGTCTTCCTCAGACCGTCTACCGGTTCTCGTCTGGATCTACGGCGGCGGCGACACCATCGGCCAAATCTACGACTCTGCCTATGATCCAAGCCTCCTGGTCTACGGAGCCGCCCAGAAGGATGTCCCCGTCATCTACGTGGCTATGAACTACCGTCTCGGCATCTTCGGATTCGCTTCATCACCTGCGTTAAACGAATCTGACTCGCTGAACGCCGGTCTGCTGGACCAGCGCTTAGCCCTATGGTGGGTCCAAGACAACATTGCCGCCTTCGGCGGCGACCCAGACCAGGTCACCATCTTCGGCGAAAGTGACGGTGCAACAGGCGTCGGCCTGCAGCTAACAGCCTATGGCGGCAAAGTGCCCAAAGTGCCCTTCCGTCGCGCAATCATGGAATCAGGCGGCGCCAACGCCGACCCCGGAACCACCACCAACACCTCAAGCAAGCACACAGCCACCCTAACCAACCTGGTCAATTGCACCGCGTCCTCCAGCAGAGAGGAGTTGGAATGTCTGCGTCGTCTCCCAATGAAGACCCTCCTCAACACGGCCTACTCCTACGAACTCTCCCTCAACTCAATGGGCGGCATGGGGGTCTTCATCCCCACAGCCCCCTCATCGTTCATCCCCGATGCCCCCTCGCAGCTTCTCCGAACCGGCCAATTCGCCCGCAACATCGACCTCATCTCCGGATGGTGCGAAAACGACGGCGCTTTTTTCACTTCCACGACTCTGAACTCCTCATCCGACATCGCCGCCTTCCTCCAGGACAGCTACCCCAACCTCTCCAATGCTACCATCGCTAAAGCCCTGGACCTCTATCCCGTTTCAAACTTCTCCCCGGACCCATCTGCAAACATCTCCGCGCATTACTTCCGCGCTAGCCAGATGCATCGCGATTTCGACTTCACCTGTCCCAGTCTCCTGACCATCCAGACGAACATTAAGTACGCCACTAACCCCGCCAACGTCTCGAACTACCTCTACGCACTTAACCAAACGGCCTTTGCGGAGGTGTTTGAGTCCTCGGGCATGACGTACTACGGTGTTCCGCACTTCAGTGATATCATGTATCTATTTAACTCAGTTACGGGTGGTTTGTTCAAGGATATCTCTACGGCATCGGACCGGAAGCTTGCGTCGGAGATGGGTGCTAGCTGGGCTTCGTTTGCGTACTATGGCAATCCGAGCCGTGCTAGGGGCAGTGTTAAGGGATGGGGGCAGGCGTATGCGGCGAATACTAGTTCCACTACGCCGGAGTTGCAGGTCTTGGGTGGTCCGAAGATGAGATTCACTGGGAGTGGTAAGGGGGGTGCGTATGGTGAGGATTTAGTGAAGAGGTGCGCGTTTTGGAATGATCCTGTTGTGGCGAGTCAGTTGGGGGTGTAGATTATGTTGGTGATGAGTAGAAGCGTGGGTGCATGCTGCCCTTTATTTATTTATGAGATGGATATGAGTTATGCATTATGGACAAACAATTCGATAGACTCTTTACGATAGCTATACAGTATACAAAAACTGGATGCGTGGTTATTTTGTAGCTCTGTTTTTATTTATCAGTAAGTGCCCCAGCAAAACACCTTGATCAGAAAGTAGTAACTTTCTTCCGAAGGTAGTACAGCTGCGTAGCATATATGAGAAAAGACAAGGAAGGAGATTCTATCACGTAATATAGGATTTGTTCGTAGTTAAATATAGTAAGTAGTAGGGCCCAATACGCTTTTCCTTCGGCCATGGCGTCGTGACGATGAACAAGTCCCATCCACCATCCCAGATCAATTATAATCTCTTGTATGATTCTACCACAAAATAATACTGAAAACAGACACAGCGTCTCTTTCTTAATGAAGTATAGCAACAGCATGGCACAAGGAAGTATCAGCTAATGATCTCAAACTTATTGTATCCTCTCACCCCCTTGCCATCCATCGACTGACATTTTCAGAGTTTCTAGAACAGAGTTCACGATGATGACATCGATATTTGTACGTCCAGGAAAGCAACTACTAGAACGATTAAAGTAAAAATTTGTCCGATCAGCATTCAAGTAATTCAAATCCAGCTCTGAAGGTCCCAGGATTTGCGCCCCGTTTCCGGGCGGGTTTCCAGACTTTAAGAACCGGTTATCGGCATGCCGAAAACCAGGATATGCAGGGCACTAACGAAGTTTATTATCGTCTTCTACTACTTTATGTAGCAAGATATCTGGAATATAATCAATATACATGAGTACATATTATCAACTAGCTTAGCCAGAAGTGAAGTGCTTCCAACGTCAACTGGCATCTACAGACATAACTCACCATGACGCTCCACAAAGCCCACACACACCACCCCTCAAGCCCGGTTACTGTCCTCGGGGCGGGTATTCTAGGTCGTCGAATCGCGGCCGTCTTTCTCGCTGGCACTTACACCGTGCATCTTTTTGATCCTGATCGCAATGCTCTCTCCGCTGCTGAGTCATTTATCAAATCCTCTGGCGAGGCATTCACTGTGCTGACGCCTTTGCCGCATCCTGAGCGGGGACGGCTATCTCTCTTCTCTGAGTTGAAGAATGCGGTTGAGAATGCATGGCTAGTCATCGAGGCAACTCCAGAACAGCTCCCTCTCAAGATTCAAATCTTTGAGGAGGTGGATAGATACGTGCCTGGGGATTGTATTCTCGCGTCGAATTCAAGTTCCTTCAAATCAAGGCTTATGGTTCCTGGCTTGAGTGAGGAGAGGAAGAAGAGAGCGATGAATGTACATTTCATGATGCCGCCGGAGATGCGACCAGTAGAGGTGATGACCTGTGGTTCGACTGAAGAGGAGGTGATGGCTGAAATGATGGAGGTGTTAAGGAATTGTGGGATGTGTCCGTTTATGGTGCGGAGGGAAAGTACAGGGTATGTTTTATTCTCTTTTTAGCTCTGGGGTATTGATGCTAATCATGATGCAGGTTTGTATTTGGCCGTGCTTGGGCGGCCATCAAGCGAGAGATCCTGAGTATTCTGGCTGAAGGAGTTAGCATCCCCGATGACATTGACCTACTATGGAAGGAAGTTTTTCAACGCCCAACGAGTGTCCAGCCGTGTCAGCTGATGGATCAGGTTGGCTTGGATACTGTTGCAGCTATCGAGGAGAACTACATCCAGGAAAGGGGGCTGGATGGGGACAAATCGGTTGATTGGTTACGTGAGAACTATATCAACAAAGGGCGATTGGGTGACAAGTGCGAGTCCGGTGGGTTGTATCCCGCCGAGCAGGACAGCATGTCTGAGAAGCTTTATGTCTTGGATGTTGGTATCGGGGATAATAGCGCACTGCGTGATGCGAGGACAGCAGGTCGTATTCTCGCAGTTTCCCCGAAGAGTGGAAAAAGAACTACCCTTGTCAGTGGATTGTCTTTGCCAGATGGAATTGATGTTTCTCCTTCTTGTGGGCGGATGTTCTGGACGAGCATGGGACACGCCCTCTCTGCCTGTGACGGGTCTGTGCAGTCGGCTAAGCTCGATGGGAGTGATGTTCACACGCTTCTGAAGCCTGGAACGGTTTATACACCCAAACAGCTCATTGTCGACGATGTGGATCGTAAGTTGTATTTCTGCGATCGCGAGGGAATGAGTTTGCACCGGTGCAATTTTGATGGAACCGATCATCAGATACTGATTCAAACTGGGTCGTTGAAAGTCCCATCAGAAAGGAAAGATATGATGCGGTTTTGCGTGGGTGTGGCCCTTGATCGGAAGAATAGGCATATTTACTGGACCCAGAAAGGGCCGAGCAAGTCCGGAAAGGGGAGAATATTCCGTGCGGGGATCGACATTCCTGCTGGGCAAACAGCCAACAACAGAGCTGATGTAGAGTGTCTGCTACAGGGATGCCCAGAACCGATTGATTTGGAGTATGATACGCAGACACAAATGCTCTACTGGACGGATCGCGGTGAGCATCCTATGGGGTGCTCCCTGAATCGGGTTGATCTTAGTGGTGATATTGATAAAGAGACAATCGGGGAGAAGGTGGAAATACTCGCGAGACAGTTCCATGAGCCTATTGGATTGAAGCTGACGAAGAATGGAGTTTATGTCACCGACTTGGGTGGATGTGTGTATCTGGTAACTGGGACGAAGAAGACGGTGTTAACTCAGGGAGAAGGATGTTTCTCAGGCCTTGCTATACTGTAATAGTGTCTTGACACTCAGCGTGCAACCAACTTACTTGAGCTAAGACTGTTAGTGTCTTTCCCCAAGAGTAGATACTTGCTAAATCTTGGAACGCGCCACGCCCTTTGAATCAAGCCAAAATGACACTGCCAGACCATCAACATGATCCATGATTCCTCTAGCCTGTTCCCTGTTTCTGAGGGGCTAGAGAACTTTATCACTCAGTATCCAGGAGACTTTCCGGGCTGCAGTGGCTTGATGAACTTCTTGTCTTGTCAGGACCCATTGGCGGACGCTGAGCATACTCGGTCTTCATACCAAGCTCCATTGCCAACTTATTGACGGTTGGTCAGGTTCACCCCAAATATGATAAGATTCGTGTTGATCGCATCAATGCTCAGAAGGAGTACTCTCAATGCACAGTGAAATAACCACGCATTTAACAGGTAGGGCGTGTCCCTTCTCCAATTTGGAGAAATGCATTACTAACGATGATCACGCCTGCCTAGTAAGTCTCTAGTCTGTGGATGAGGTGGACGATTTCCTCAACCTCGGCTTTTCTTGAGGAGACTATTAATCCGGCCCTATATATTACACAGCTAGATTGTCTTCATTTCTCTTGTTTGCGTCTACGTTCTACTCATGATGTTGATCCAGCCAAAGGGCTTCCGATCAATCAGCCTACGCGTCATACAGCCTTGTAGAAAGTACATGTCCCACTTTCGCGTCGTGGAGCACACAGCTCGGTGTCAAAATGTCCGACAGCGTCCGGGTGCCGTGAAAGCCGGTCATGAAAACAAGCTGCGACTTGCTGTTAAGCAGTACATCCCCCTCGATAATCCACACCCGAAGGAAGGGGATGTCACTATTATTGGGGCGCATGCAAATGCGTTTCCAAAGGTTGAGTCAACTCCTTACATTTGAATTTCCAATATGACTAACTTGTGCATAAGGAACTGTACGAACCCCTTTGGGATGACCTTTACAAGCAGCTCGCAAGTCAAAACAGACGCATCCGATCAATTTGGATTGCAGATGTTGCTCAACAGGGACAGAGTGGTGTTTTAAATGAAGCCATCTTAGGCCATGATCGTGAGCTCTCGTCCCGCACCGCACAAGCCGTTTGAACATTCTTTGACGCCAATCTAGCCGATTGGCTCGATCACGGGCGTGATCTTTTGTTCATGATAAATCAGCTTCAGGACCAGATCCCTCAACCACTTGTTGGCATCGGTCACAGTATGGGTGGAATGCAGCTGTGAGTATGCTCGATCCGCTCAAAGCGCCTATTTCTCATGGATGATAATCCAGAGCCCACCTGTCTTTATTGCATCCATCCCTATTCGAGGGTCTTATCCTGCTCGACCCGGTGATACAGCGCGAAAACCCAGGCCGCCAATTCGCCCAGACATCTACTTATAGACGAGACATATGGCCCTCACGCGAGCAAGCAGCAGCGAAATTCAAGTCAAACCCATTCTATCGGACATGGGATTCCCGCGTTTTCGACAAATGGATCCAGTACGGGCTACGGGACCTTCCCACCCCATTACATCCCGTCACGGACGAAACTGGACCATCCGCCGTTACGTTGACTACAACCAAGGCACAAGAGCTATTCTACTTTGTACGGCCTTCGTATGTTGACGAGCGATCCGGACTTCCCCGCGGTAACCCTGAAGAGGAAATGCATCCGGATGACCACGATGCTGGTTATCCTTTTTACCGACCTGAGTCGGCATGGATGTTTCGTCGACTGCCTCATCTAAAACCACCTATTCTCTATCTGTTTGGGGAACTATCGGATCTGTCTTCTCTGATTGCCCGTCGGGATAAAGTGGTAACAACTGGTACGGGTCTGGGAGGTAGTGGGGGTGCAGCGCGGGGACTGGTTGAGGAAGTCGTGCTACCCAGTGGCCATATGTTTCCAATGGAGCTGGTAAAGGAAACTGCTGAAGCTAGCGTGGCGTTTATTGACAAGAGGTTATCTGATTGGGGGTCGAGGGTTGCGACGTTTCGCAGGGCGTGGGAAGGAGTGCCTCATCATGAACGGCTGAGCGTGGATCAGCAGTGGGAGAGGAATATCAATGGTTCTTCGAAGCTCTAAGTGGTTCAATAATTATGCTGATCTTTGGATAAGGGGACTAATAGATGAGAACTGTTGGAGGCTGCGGTTAGTCGCGGGAAACGCAGGGCGTATACCGGTGTCACTCATAAGGCGCGGTGATCGATAATGCCCAATAATCAACAATCAAGTCGAAAGGATAATCGAGTTATGGTCCTTGATTGATTACCCTTGAAATTTCCCTGGTTATTTCTTTGAATACAGTGGGTTGATTCACTGCCCTAGTATAACTTCATGGGACAATATCATCCGCAGTTATGCCGAAATTTAGAGGGATATCTCTTTTGGCCTAGTAGTTGGTAGCGTAACTGGCCAAGCGAACCAGACTGTCACGGGTTTATTTTACGGGCCTAATCAACCCAATAACCGCCATGGCCTGAAGGAATGTAGGAGAGGCGGGATACGCAAATAGGATAGAACGAGTGGTATAGGGATTACGAGCGAGTCTGGTATTTGAGCAGTACGGTGTATAGAAGACGAAAGTTTAGGAATATACTCGTCATAGTATAGAAGTAACGGACCGTTTTCAACCGTGCCAGAACTGATACTATGTGCTTGTCAAGTATAGGGCGTGGGCGGGTAGCGGAGAGCTTCAGGAGTAAAGTTTGATTGGTTCGGGGTATCAATTTATCTTGTACCAAAACTTGCTCCATACCAGATTAGGGTTTTCTGAGTACCGGAGTTTAGACGCTTGATATTGCAGGATCGCTAGAACTGATGCTGGAGTATAAGAAGCAAAGAAAAGAGATAACACTCGGTCTAAATATAGACCCTATAGCTGCGGTTGTGGTGGATTTTAGGGTCAAAGGGGAGGGTGCGGGACAATGAGTGAGAATAGGCTGTGTCGACTGAGTATTCGTCATATGTTATGGGAGTTCCACTAGTATATTAGGATAGAATTACCATTGAAACACCATTTGCAGTCTCATCATTCATTCATATACATGCCATTACTAAAGTAGCCCACTTAATACCAGCCTATTTCAAATAGAACGCCAAATCCGCCCCTTCTGCTCTCTCCCACTCCAGCTCACCGTTAGAAAGATAGGCAAAGGGGTTAGCGTTATTTTGGTAGCGGATATCAAAGTCTTCGCCGCGGATGGTAGAGATGGCCTCTGCAATTATCATACGCGTTAGCACACTTGATGGGATTCCTAGGGTATAGATCAAGGCTGGGTTACCTTTGAAGTGAAGAACACTGCCAGGATACATGGCCGTGACAGCCGAGCCATTGTTGTACCAGGCAGTGCAGCCTGAGCTCCAGACGGTATGTTTCAGGTTTGCCTGGACATGGCGGTTATACAGCCGGTTTGCGGAGTCGGTTACGACAACGGAGCTAGACATTGTTAGTGGTTGAGAACGTCTCATCATGAGTAGAGAGTGTGCTCTCACTGAATATCTTCCCGGGCAATCTTCTTCACCCACTGCAGAATGTAGTCCGCAGTCCAGGCTAGCATCTGAGGGACGCTTCCATGGCCAATAGGGCAGTTAGGCCCGGCGAACATGAAATAGTTGGGACTGCCAGGACAGCAGATGGAGAAATATGCCTCGGGTGTCGTCTTCCAGTCGTGAGCGAGCTGACGACCATTACGACCAACCATCTCCCAGCCAGGGATGAAGGTGGTGTCGAAACCTGTGGCGCAGACAATGAGGTCAAATTCCTCCTCACCTTGGGCGGTCTGGATGCCAGTTTTGGTGATGCTCTCAATGGGATCAAAGCACCACTCTGCGTTGGGCTCCTGCATGGCTTCTAGATATCCGTCTCCGGGGCTAAGACGACGACATCCGATAGCAGTGTCGGGGATGAGCTTCTTGATTAGGTGTGAATTATTGCTAAGACGCTGTCTCATCAATTGTTCTGTGGCTGTGTATAGCATGTTATTGTACTCAGATCCCTTGAGCATCAGCTTGTAGACGGTATTGACTCTGCGATGTTGTTATTAGTAGAATACCTCATTGGGTGGCGTTCGACGTACGAGCGCTCGATAAACTTCCTGTATTCCAGAAAACCCTCAGGGTCATCCCGAAATCGGGCCTTTTCTTCTTCGGTGTATACAAAGTTGGTACCCATTCCATCCCTGGTCGTGTCCGGGCATAAGTTGACCGACACCCATGTTGGATGGCGGATGTAGTTGACGATGCGGGCTGCCTTGGGCTGCAGCGCAGGCACAATCTGGATCCCCGAGGAGCCATTACCAATGACAGCAATCTTCTTGCCGGACCAGTCGTAGGCCGGATCCCAGCCCGCTGTATGGAGGAGCTTGCCTTCAAACCGGTTCAGACCTTCAATCTTGGGCATCTTCCACCGATTGAGGATGCCTCCGGCATTGATGAGAATATCTGCATCATCGTAGACGGTTGTGTCGTTCTGGTTGAGCTCGAGGCTCCATTTACCACGTTCTTCGTTCCAAACAGATTTGACAAGTCGAGTGTTGAAGACGATCTTCTCTTTCAGTCCGTACTTTTCAGTTGTCGATCGGATGTATTCCTCGATTTCCGGGCCCTTGGCATAGCTTTGGGACCAGGACGGATTGGGCTCAAAGGGAAACACATAACTGTGAGCAGGCACGTCGCAGCCTACACCAGGGTAGATGTTTTCGAACCAAGTACCCCCTACCTCGGGATTCTTTTCATAGATGGTGAAGTCAATAAACTCAAGAGGCTGCTCGTGCTTGAGCTTGTGTGCAAGGATCAGTCCCGAAAACCCCGCTCCAATGCAGACGACTCTGAGATTTCGGGGAGTGAAAGCAAATCGCTTGGGATCTACAGCATATGCTGTGGATTCAGTAGGGATGGACTCTCTGGATGGCATGGTGATGGCAAAGATATCCTCAATTTTGCGACAGGAGTTGCAGACATGCAGGTTCACCCTCGCAATAGCCAAGATTTCGAAACAGGGGATACCCTTACTAGTTATATGATATCCTCGCAGTCCTTTGGTTTCCGGCTTTCCCCCGGCCGTAGCCTTATAGTATCAGGAACTAAAAGGCCGGTCTCAATTAGTGGTTACCCTAATAAGTAAGTCTACAGGCCCGATTGATTCGCAGGATATTAAATTAGCGCCGAATCCATTTAGCGAGTCTACCAATACAGTACGACGCGGGACGTGATTGAAAGAAATTTGCGTGGGCGGTAGGATCCCGGACCTGTCAGACGCTAAATCTCGCAGGAATTTAACGCTCAAAACGGCTGAATTGAGCCTTCGAGATGGCAAAGGGCACCGGGACTGAAGCCACCCCGCTGTCAAAGACACGGACCCGCCGGCCCGCCTGGTTTGGGGGCCGACGGAGCTGTCAGGAAAGGGGCTGGAAGGATCGCTAGAGCATCCTAGCGGCGTGCCATGCCCTAAGACTTGAATGTGATTGACCGGTTTGGCGCACTAGATGCATTGCGGCCTATTATTGAACCAGGGTCGCGTGTCAAAACTGGTTTCTATCTTAAGGGCCCGGTGGTACATTCCAGTCCACTCGATATGTCTTCCTCTGCAAGTGGCAACAGGCATGTCCAGCAGCGTCTTCGGGGATCCTCCTCCAGGGACGGACTTGACAGCCAGCCGGCGTGGAGTGAACAACGCAGCTGTTAGTGTCACATACGTGCTGCCGGCCATCGCCATTGCCTTTCGATTTCTCGCGAGAACGCGGGTGCAACAAGCTTCCATTGCCGCGGATGATTGGATGATAGTTGCTGCTTTGGTACGTACTTGTGGCCATTCCTCAGTCACGACACGGAGATACTGATGATCATAATGGCTGCAGCTGTCTGTGACTGCGAATTTCGTCTCCACCATTATCGGTTCGTTCGCCCGATCAAACACCCAGAAAGCGTACTGACCAGCCATCTTCAGGAGGCTATTATGGCCTTGGAAAGCATGTATGGGCTATACCCCTAGACGATGTGATCAAGGTGGTGCAGATTCTGTTCGCATATGTCCTCATATACGTCGTTACCGTGCCCTTGATCAAGCTCTCGGTCATCCTCTTCTACCGTCGCATTTTCGGAATGAACAAGGCGATGTGGTTCTGCGTCGCATTGACCATCGGATATTGGTTTTCTTGCACCGTCGCCTTCCTCGTCTGTTGCCGACCTGTCTCATATTATTGGACGCAGTATGCTGATCCCGCTGGCGGCCGTTGCGTCTACAATCTTTATCCATTCTATATTGGGAACGCCGCTGCAAATGTGACCACGGACGTGATCATTCTGCTGGTGCCCATGCCACTTATCTGGAGGCTTCAAATGCGAACCACCCAGAAGGTTTTGGTTTGCAGCATTTTTCTACTTGGCAGCTTGTATGTCGTGCTGAACCCCGCCTGTCCGTTCCCATGTCTCATCCTGTCTGATAACTGATACAAAAACGTTGTTTGCAGTGTCTGCGTGGCGAGTCTCATTCGAATCTATTACATGACGTTTCTTAGCAGGTCCGTGGATATCACCTGGATCATGGGTAATGTCTTCATCTGGTCCAGTGTGGAGCCGTGCATCGGAATTGTCTGTGCCTGTCTGCCTACCTTGCAACCCCTGCTGCGGTACACCATTTATAGGATATTCGGCTCGCGTGTGGGAAAGTATCTGGGTAGCTCGGAGAAAAAACTTTCCGGTCAAAATAAGGATGCTCCCGTGAGGAGGCCCAGGGATTGGGACGAAAGTCTGCTTGCAACACAGACTGTTCGAGTTGAGATGGACTCTATGCGCAGGGAAGACGAGAGTGAAGAAGGCAGAATCCTGGTTGAAACCGACTTCCAAGTGATCGAGGAGAGCAAAAGAGCGTTATAATAGCACTGGCATAATACGGATGACAATTCCGTGGTGTCACTCTAAATGTAGCTGGGCGAGTGGCAGTTGATCATCGTCAGGGTTTCCAGCTAGATGGCACGCTACAAATAGAACAGTGATCCAAAAGTAGACATGAACACAAAGTTACTACAATGTCGCATCACATCATTAACAATGATGCGTCTGGATATCAAAATTTTATAGTATGTACGACTGGCTCGCTTCACTAGATCTGACACCATAGCCCGTTAGCGATGTGACACACGGTAGGGACAGAAAAATAACAGAGTGAAGCCCATCCATCTTGAGGCCCAGTTAGTAGCCTTCCTCTTCGCCCTGCTGGTAGACGTGTCGTGAACGTCCAGGGTCTTTGCGCATCTGCTGGCCAGAGCCAGTGAAGCCCACTATTGCAGTCAGTGTGCTGTCGCACGTGGTCTATCGGAAGAGTCCACTCACCTCGGGCATTTACTCCATCGCCCGTGCGGAACATGCTCTCCTTGCGACCCAATTTACCCTTGCTGGCAAAATCCTTCCACTTCATCTTGCCCGCCTCGAGCTCCCGCGTAGCCTTCACCTTCCGGGGCACCTTAGCCGGGCGCGCCGGCCCATCGCTCACCTTGCTCGGCTCCTTACGCGCCTGGTTGGCCAACGCGGGATTAATGTCCGCGGCGGCGGAGATCACGCTCGAGTGGGGCGGCGGCGGCGCCGGAGATTGTGATGAGGAATTGCCTGAGCTTGCATCAGCCTTGCGCTTTCGCGAGTCATTGCCGGAGATGGGCCTGATGTCTTTGGAGGTTAGATTTTCCACCGTCCCATAGGACTTGAACGAGACAAGATACACGGGGTTGCTCGCAGAGCCGGTGATGGAGGTGATACGCGCTGGGTAGAACGAGTTGTCGCCCGACACCCACCGGGCGAGAACGTGCTCGTTCACGGAAAAGGAGGTCTGAGTTGACGGTTCGTCCGTTTGTTCGACCGTCGGTTTGCGGTATGTTGGTTGAGAAGCGTAGGAATCCTTGGCCCTATTGTCCTTGGCCGCGGACGCCGGCGGCTGGGACACGGCAGGCGCGGGAGGTTTGAGTTCGGCAATGGATGTTTCGGTGAGGTTTATAAGTTCTTCCAGCTCAGTTTTGAGACTCTGCAATTCCGTGTTGTCTGGGTCTACCTGCAAACTCGATTGGACGGTTTCAAGCTGGGAGAGTGACGGTTAGTCACGGACGGACGGTCATGGCTATGTAGGCGCGTACCTGGAGCTTGAACTCCTTGACTTCTGCCTCCAGGGCAGCGACGTCCGACATTGTTGTGTTATTAAAGGCAGTAAAGAGAGAAGGTAATTACGTCCTGCGGGAAACCAAAGGATGAAAGAATGGCGAGTGCGCAGGATGATGGCAGTCGTTGGGGTGGAGTGGCGGTCGGGCTGGAGCAAATCTGAGGTTTTGCAGATAAGAGAAGTCGCCTTTGGGGATAAGACTGGGCTGTGGCGGGGGCCCCGTTGCGGCTCGTGCCTATCACGTGCATTCGCACCGCCACAGATGCACGGGCGCAAGTCACATGTTTAACTTATCCGTTATCTGTGTTCGCTCGCTCCTGCTGCTACAAAGTACCATTCATCACTAACTCACTAGTGGACGTTCTGGGTTACTGACGCTTATGGCAAAGTAGCAATAATTCCTGCAACTTCAGGCTTGGGCCGGTCACTATCTAGTCCCGGTTCGACTTCCCCACGGTTACATTAAAGACAGGCCGCCGAAGTCCAGAAAAGCTCCGATCTCAGGCCACGCCCGCATCCACAATCTAAGCTACGGGTCAACGGGTCAACACCTGGTTGGTGTCCGCTTCCACAGTCGATCCTCACGTCATTCGGCTGCGGAACAAAGGCCAACCGATGGGGGTGGTAATTGGCCCGAGATCTGCCAGGTGTCCGTCCAACCGCGTTATCAGGCTACATGCCACATGCTACAGGCTACAGGCTACAGCAACAGTTGATACTGATGGGGCAGCGGCAGCAGCAGTCCAGCAGTCAAAACAGGGCGGGGAGATCAATGGCCATCCAATCTTAGGACTCGTCAGCCGTGGCAGACTACTCGTTGCCATAGGCTAAACCTTAAGCATCGGAGATCCAGATCCCTAGTGGGTTTCACACCGCTTGCCCCGGTTGTGATCGGTCGGGGTGGCCATGCATTCGACCGAGAGTAGGGGAGCTCTGGCCAAATAATCTAGGTTATCCCCGGCTTACGAGGTGCACTCGAGATAATTCCTAGCTGCTACAATACTCATATGGAGAAACACGCGGTTGACGGGCAACTATTTGGAATACAGTAATCCTTCCGAGGCATCCGAGATCGCAGAGTGATAGGCATCAGCATGAGCACCGAAAGTCGGAGGGTCTGTCTGGTCTTAACACTGAAGCTGGGGGCGGTGAGGTGACGGCGAACGAAGGAACCCGTGTCCGCGTCCGAGAAAAGTGGCGCCCCATGAGTCACTTTTCTTGGGTGAGACAGTCGATCGGTTCGTTTAGTACGGAGTAGCATCGTCCAGACAAAGGACGGTCCCGGTTTGGCCAGGGAGGGGGGCAGACATCTACCTATCTAGCGATGGCGTAGATAGACTAGCTAGATAGGAGGCAGAGACTAAATACTAGTGCCTCGTACCAGTTTCAGGCTGAAGAGTGTTGCGAGACTTAAATCCATCGTCAGGTTGATGATTGTGAAGAGGTGACCAACCAAGGAACCAAGCAATGCCGAAGTGGTAAAGAAGCAAATGGGCGAAGAGAGAAAAACCGCAGAGGATTTTCGGGTTGGATTTCTAAGCAGGAGTCACTGGCTTCCCCACTTGCAGCCTGAGGTTTGCACCGGCAGAACACCTCAGGCTACACTTTTTGCCTTCTGCAGGGTTTCATAGCCAATCATCATCTTCCATTCTACCCACCGCCCCTCGAGGCCATCGCCCCCCTCTTAGTTCAGTCGAAGATTCCATTCCATCTACTACTCACTACTAGGCTTGTCTTGTTCCATCCACGGCCTCCTCTTCCTTCTCCTCTTCTCACGCTCTCTCTCTCTCCCCCCCCCCTCTTCCTTTCTTCCAACCCGCATCAAGAACCAATCTTCCACCCCCCTACCCGGTGCCACAATTTCGTTCCATTCGGCTAGACCCTTAACGACGGGTCTCGCATTCTTTCGCCCTACTGCATCCCCCTACCTCTCATCCATCTTGCATCATCCTCCTCTTCCCATCTTCGTCTCACTTACCAGCCCCTCTCCCCTCCGGCCCTCTCGCCCTCTTTCACGACCTGTGATTCGTCTTTGGTCTGCCTCTCCTTAGCCCCGTTTTGGCTCGTCAGACAGACCTCTTTGCGGCTTGTGCTTCTCGCCTGCCTTGCGCCTCTCCTTCACGCATTGTCATCCTCAACTTCATCTGTCTTCCGAATCTCACTTCTCCCGCAACACTCCGTCTCCCCAACACCTTCTAGAGTCTTCCAGACTCAAATTGCTTCCCCCCAACAACTCTACTTGCAGTTCACGGTGACGTGACAGCTGTTGGTGGTTTGTTTCAGTCTTCGAAAAATTAAACTCGTGCCCCTCCTCTGGTCTCTGCCGGTGTCATCGTACCGGGACCCCTCCTCCTCAACCCGTCTCTGGGGGCCACCTATCGATACAACAAACGGGCGGGAAGCCCGGCCTGCTTCTCATCGAATCTATCATTACTTGGAGATTACCTTTGTTGAGCAACACTTGACACTTCCCCACAGTTTCAACACCTTCCCGCTCTGATCATCACTGTCGACTGCGATATTCTGAATACAATGGCCGACTACAATTCCCTCTATCAGCACGGTCTTTACCTGTCGCCAGATCAGCAAGATCTCCTCCTGGCTGCTCTTTCCTCCAACAATCCGCCCGCAAAACAGCAGAATAATTCCCACCCCCCGGCTTCCAAGTCAGACCCCGAGTCTACCCCTGCAACCACAGGTAGTTACAATATGAGTCCTGCGTTCGACCCCTCTTACCCTCACTCGGGTGGTCTGGGTTATGGCGATGATGAAAGTCCCTTCCTGGACTTCAACCCCGAACTGGACTTTGACTTTCAAGGCTCCGAGAACCTGATTGGTGATCTTCCCGAGAGCCTACCGCAATCGGAGGAACCGGAGCCGGGAGAGAAGAGGAAGGACATCGATGGCGATGCGGATGAGAATGAAGCTTCCGGCAAGAAGCGAAGAGAAAGCGATGAAAAGGCGGCAAAGAAGCCAGGAAGGAAGCCCTTGACTTCCGAGCCAACCTCGGTACGTATGCTCGGTTATCGCGATGTGGGCGCCGAGAGTCTCGTGTCACTAACAAACTCGCAGAAGCGGAAGGCACAGAACCGGGCTGCGCAGCGAGCGTTCCGTGAACGCAAGGAGAAACACTTGAAGGATCTGGAAACGAAGGTAGATGAGCTGCAGAAGGCTTCTGACAACGCGAACCAGGAAAATGGGTTGCTCCGTGCTCAAATCGACCGCCTGCAAGTCGAATTGAGAGAGTATCGCAAGCGTCTCTCCTGGCTGACCACGGGAACTGGTGTCTCTGCCATGAATGCCATCCCCGGAGCCTATCCCAACAAGGGATCGTATGGCCTTCAGAACAATGATTTCATGTTTGACTTCCCCAAATTCGGGGATCTTCCGGGCTCCCACATTTTCAATAACGGCCAATTGTCCAAGGCGCAGCAGAGTGCTAAAGGAGAGCCATCCACAGCAACGTCGCGTAATGACTCCCGTGTGCCAGGTGTTGTGAGCCGTAACTCCCTGAGCAGTGCTCAGTCCAACGGTGCGCCCGCGGGCAGGACTCCCAGCTCCGTGTCCCACCAGGGTTCCACTCCTGCGTCCACGAGGAAGTCCACTCCGAAGGTGTCCTTATACAACGGCACGGCTCAATCCACCTCTACGCATGATTCCTCTACGACTGACTCGCCATCCTCCTCGTCCGATTCCCACCAGAGCCAGAGTCTTTCGTCCAACGGCACATCCCCGGAACCCACTATTAGTTCTCCTGCTACTAAGGCTCATCACCACCACGGTGCTCATGATGGCTGCACTTATACCACCATCGATGGTGAGGAATCCTTCTGCGCGCAACTTGGCATGGCATGTGGCAATATCAATAACCCCATTCCAGCCGTCCGGCATAACAGCCAAAGCGCGTCAAATACCCCTAATCAGGAGGCTCCCCACGAGGATGTTGCGGGTCTGGATACGCTCGCTCAGCAGAACGGCGGCCAGTTCGATCCCGTTCTCTTCGGAGACTGGCGTGAGCCTCAGGATGCAATCCTGTCTCAGGACTTTGGAACATTCTTTGACGATGCCTTCCCCCTGCCCGATCTGGGAAGCCCTTCACACAACCTCACGGAAGCGGCCACCCAACAACCCCCGAAGAAAGACTTGATCGCAGAGATCGACAGCAAGTTGGATGAAGAGGTTGTGCCTGGAGAAGATAAGTCTCAGATGCTGAGTTGCACGAAGATATGGTATGATTATCCTGTTGGACCCCCCAAAAATTACATTTGTACTAACATCTTCGTTTTCAAGGGATCGTCTGCAATCCATGGAGAGATTCCGCAACGGAGAGCTCGATGTCGATCATCTTTGCTCCGAACTACGCATGAAGGCGCGGTGTTCGGAGGGCGGTGTGGTCGTCAACCAGCAAGATGTTGACGACATCATGGGGCGGGCGAAATAGTCAAGCGAGGGGAAACAATAAGTTAGTTCGCACCTGCGCTGCCCGCCGCATACTGCCCTCGTTGCCATCATTCTGCGTTTCAGATACCCATACATGTAATGCAAAGCTGTTGTTGACGCCGTTACGACAAAAGGGAATATTGGATATGGGAGGTTTTTCACACGAACCCAAAGTGAAAAATCACGGAGTACTCCAGGTTATTTACCGCAATCTTCGATTGGACAAATTCTCATGGGAAGACTTTTGGAGCAAAGCAATAACCTCCCCAACACATATTACATTTCTCCATCTACTTTTATGACTGTACTTTCTCTATTATCTTCTTCTTTTTTCTTTCACGAAGACCACTGCAGGCGAATAGGAGGCGTGGTTTGCACAGGAAAATTTTAATGCAATATAGGAAGCTTCGGTTTGGCAGACTGTACACCATCACCGTTGGAGTATTCTTTCGTTCATGTTATCTTAACACTTGGGTTGCGTGCTTGTTCCTATGTATATGCACCGCTGGTTCTTGATCTTTCAGCCCACCACACCACATGTACTCAAAAAGCTGGGTGGCTGGCGGATTTCGAGTGATATGTTGTTTGGTCAATCTATCTGTCTACCTACATGCCCTTGGAAATATGCGAAAGGGTTGTTCAAGTTTTTTGGGCGTAATCGGCGTATGTCTCTGGGTGAGGTAGTATCTCTGTATAGCCATGAAATAATAAGACGCCAATTCTCTCTTCTCCGATACTATTATTTGATAATACTAGTCATTGATGCCCTCATTGATCCTTTAACTATCCATCATGTGTTACAATTGCAGTCATACTTTTACTCGTGGTAGTAAGTAGTAAGTAGTGTCCCTTTCAAACTGTCTAAGTATGAATGATGTAGTATGTAAGTATGTGGTACCTGACCGCCGCACCCGCCCGGAAAATATATCCTGACAGCACTTCACCCATTATAAGTAGTAGTAGTAGTAGTAGAAGTCTTAGAGGAGAAAACTGAACTCAATAAACCCCCGTTACGGTAAAGTTCAACATGCAGTATTATGGAAATGTTTAGTAGTCTGCAGACTCAGTCTAAGTAGTATTATACATAAATAATTAATCACCGATTAATCAAACATTCCTCAGCTCTTCTGATAGTACGTTGATTGACCTCCTTTCAGATTACTAGAATATATATATTAAGTATTATCTCTGAAAATCTTTACGATATAGTTCACTTACTACCAGGTTATGGTCACGAAATTGAGAACTATCATATTGTCCAGAATAAGTACCGTTCGCGATAGCTGTAGTATTACCTACCAACTTAACAAACCCAAGCTGAGTCTACTATCACTAGTACTATCTGGATATTACCGGATGATAGAACGCTACTTCATAGTATGTAGTAGACAAACCGCATGAAGTTACAAGGGTATCGATATTGGTACGTTCCAGGAGAATATAGAATACAAAAGAATCCTCGCCGTTGGCCGTTTTGTGGTTTTGTTTCTTCTTTTTTTCGTTTTTCGCAAAGTAACCTCAGATAAAATATCCCTTCGCTTTTTGTATTCCCGTTTCCCGCGGCCACCCAACAAAATCAAAGACCATAATATCATACCAAGTTCGATAGCACACATACACACCCACCTCTCCTCCTCCGCTTGCTTCTGCTTGCAACTCCGCTTGTGTCTCTGTCTCCGCCTCTGCTTCTGCCTTCGGATCCGCACCAACGACTCCTGGGGTCCTAAAGATCCGAGTGGGAAATGGAATTGAGCAGTTAAAGTAACCGATCCATCCCGTCGCCAGCGCGAAGTGTCTACTAGGAAAGAGGAAGATGAATGGGAAAAGAAGTTTGACGCACATCTCGCTGAAAAAGGACAAGAACAAGGTGAAAAGAGAAAAAGACGTCATTTAGCAAGTATCACAACAATAGAAAATTAAAATACCGATCGAAAAGCGTGAGATTAATGAAAACATTGGACAGGAAGAAGAGATGGCTGAGGGTAGAAAATAACACTTTCGGAAAGAAAGATAGAATGGGGGAATTGGAGAAACAAAGGTGGACATGAAATCAGAACGGGGAATCAGGCGCAATCACACATATCAAGCGTCGCCTCCAGTTGCAGCGGGCTTGTCGCCTGGTCCCGAGTCTGAAGTCGGAGCGCCTCCCTTGTTGAACCCACCGCGACCACCACGGCCGCCCCGTCCGCCCCGGTCGCCGCGGCCAGCACCACCTCGGCCACGGAATCCACGTCCGCGGTTAGTCTCGCTGTCACTGGCACCTCCGCTCTGGTATCCGCGCTGGGGCGCGTTGGCACCACGGTTACTGCTCTGCCACGTACCGGCATTGCCGCGGTGGCTGCCCCGGTCTTCGAAGAACTTGATGTTGGGCTTACGGGGCTGACCGGCAGGGGTAGGCTTCTTGTGCTCGGCAGGCTGGCGATCGAGAGCAGCCTTGGCCTCCTCGACAGTCGCAAAGTGGACGACATGGTTGTTGTATTTTCCCCATTTCTCAATCTTTGTGATCTTGGCCTTGTCTTCCTCGGGGAAGAGATCACGCACAGCTTGTTCATTCTCAACGTTCGAGACGAAGAGGCCGTTGCTCTGCTTCTTTTCAATCTTGGGCAGCGGAGATTCGGAGGGCTTCTCAGGCTGAGCGGTACCATTGGCCTCGGTGGTCGTGGTTCTCTCCGGGGACGTCACGGCGGGCTGCGCAGCAGGGGCGGCGGCAGGCTGCGGCGTAGCAGGCTTAGGGATCACGGGAACGGGGGATGTACGAGCGGGAGCGGCGGCGGGAGCCTTGGCCTGAGCCGGGGCCTGCTGTTGGGGAAGGGGACCCGTGCGGGCGGGAACAGGCTGGGCCTGACCGAATTGGGGAGCAGCTCCGGGAACGCGAGGCGAGGCGATTCCAGCGGGGGCGCCAGCGGGGACGGGAGCGGGCTGGGCTGGGCCAGCGGGCTGGGGCTTGCCAGTACGGTGGGCAAAGTTGAATCCTTGAGCGCGCATTTCGGTAGCGATGCGGCCCGACTCGATCTCAAGCACCAAGAAGCCGAATGCTGCGTCCGCCAAGTTGAAGTTCCACATGTTCTTGAAGGCGCTTTCGTCGACCTGGCCAGCTGCGTTGCCGGGAGCAGCAGGTCCACCGAATGGGTTGCCACCGTTGGCAACGGTAGGCATCTTGGTGACCACCTCCAGGGCATTGTCGAGCAAAGTCTTCTGAGCCTCGTTCTGCGAAATGGCGGCCTCAACCTCGCCGCGGACAGTCTCCCACACATCATTGAAGGAAGCCTTGGAAGCGGCGAGCTTGCCCCGGTAATGGTCGAGGGAGGGGTTGACGGAGAATTCGTTGTAGGACGAGCCGTAACGGAAGTGCAAGCCAGCGGAGACGGAGAAATCGGCCTTGAGCGTGACCGACAGCTGGTTCAGCATGCCCTCACGAGCCGGCGACGCGTGCGTGACGAAGATCCGGGTCTCTGAGGGGTCGTATACACGGTTTGCTGTGTCAATCAGCTCTCCCATTTGCAGCAGGGTTGTCCACATGGTGCCTTGACCACCAGCAATAGTAGTCTTGCCCTCGCCATTGTCGAACAGCTTGTGCATAACCACAGCTCCTCCCAGACCCAGGAGACGGAGCTTCACACCGCCAATGTCGAGTAGCCGCGAGTTGGCTTCATCAATGATGTGCAGCTTGTCAACCTTGTACTCTCCCGAACGGAACTTCTCCAACACGCGAACATCCTCGCAGGCACCCCAGACAGTGTAGACAGGAACATCGAGGGTGAGCCGCTTGTCGAGCAGCATGGGAAGCTCTGAGAGGGGTAGCTGATCGGGGGTGAATCGTTGCTTGATCGACTGCTGGGGAGGAGTCTGGGCGATCGTGCGCTTGACATTCTCGGGGAGCAGGGGAGAGTATTGGGCCACGTGCTTTAGAGTCCTAATAGTCGAGATGCAGATTGGTGTTAGTTCGATCGGGTCACATGTTTATCATGCATGAAAGCTCTCTAGCGGCTGGAAGGCAGCTTCACGAATCGGGGGACGGGGAAAGTCACTGACTTGTCTGCAATGCGCTCGAGCGAAGTGTCATCGTAGAAACCGAAGTCACCAGTGTGGATGATATGGTCTGCACGGGCCTGCCTGGCCAACTCATTCAAGGACTTCAGATTACCTGCGCCGAGGAAAAAGCAAAACAGATTTCCCAAATCAGCTCAATCGGGTCTACCAATCCGGGATCGTTACCGGAGCTAGATCCGGAGCACATACCTCGCACGTCCGCAATGCACAGCACTCTGACGGGACCATTCTGAATGATTCGACCATTGTTGGGAAGGAGAGGGGCGGCGCCGGGGACGGGACCAGAAGGAACAGCACCGTTGGGGAGGGGATAGCCTTGAGGACCGAAGTTGTGTGGAGGACGGGGCTAGACAAGGAAAAAAGAGCATGAGGTCAGCACGGAGATGAACAAGATCTTATCTGAGCGCGTTGGAGGATCGCCAACGCGCGGTTTCAGAGGGGGGCATGACGTTGGACAGCCATCACATCACAGCTTAGCTATACGGGGGCAGAAACCAGAGAGGGAGCACTTACAGAAGCCATGAGTAGGGACTGGAAGTAGAGGTCGGAAAAGCGATAAAGAAAAGGTCAAGTGTAGTTGATGATGAGGCAGAAGGAGAAGGAAAAGAGACGGGGCGAGAGAAGAGGAAGAAGACGAAGAAAGACGATTGGGGGGAAGAAGGAAGCAAGCACGACGAGGCGGTTTGGAACACGGCGAAAGAGAGACTCAGAGTCGCTGCCAGCCGAAGTGATGTCTCCCCGCTTATGTAAGCCCCAGGGGCAGCTTTCCAGCAAACGGGCGCAAGGGACAACAACAACAACAACACCACCACCCACAACCACTAGGAAAAAGTAGCAGTAACTAATCAGGACCAGGAGTAACACCGAAGGGTGAATGGGTTGACTTCTACGGAGTAACTCGAGAAAATCTCTGCAGCGGGTGTTTCCTTAGACTTCATTCACCACAGGGTCGATCTATCTAGATCTCGCCCAAATCTACACAATGCCCAAGTGACACTTCAAGTCGGGCCCAAACAGGAAAGTACCTGACAGCACTGGCACAGCAGCGAATTCATGCGATGATGGACATTACCCGTTTACCTCTAATCTACCTCATCATATATACTGTATTCACAATGGATATTGCGACACACAAGAGTCTCTGCCTAGTCTACAGATTCTCTCCCTGGTTCAAAAGAATCTCCTGGCTGCCACTGCCTCCTTTGTTGCCTCCTTCACCAAACATCTGCCTCGACACAGCAGCCTGAAGAGATTTGGGCCCTTGTAGTGCCATCAGGGCAAAATGACCACCCACTGTTGGGCGAGCTCGGCACAATACAGGCACCCCAGGGCTCCGTCCCTTGGCGGATGTGGCAACGTACCGATCGGAGAACGGCCAGTTGTGTTTTCCGTTGGTCATGAAACTCCAGAGATCATCCACAAACTCAGACCGAGTGTCGGCGTCAAATGTGCCTGCCAACCACATGTTCCAGTCCGACTTGGCCCAGTCTTGCCGGTTATCCAACGGAACTCCATATTCAGCTCGAACCGACTTGAAGAAGGTATTTCCCATTTCGTATGCCGCTTTGGGGAAGGTCTGAAGATCCAACAGTACATCTGGGTAGAGGTTGTATGGAATCTTCCACGAGGCTGGCTTGTCGGGGTATTGCAGCACGAAGTGTGTCTTATTCCCGTCTGTTCCCCGGCCCTGGGTGAAGAACAGATCCGCGCGCGCTTCGCCGATTTCAGAGTATTCGGAAAGTCCCGTTAGTTCGCCGAATGCCTTGATACCGACGGCCGCCTTGATGGCAAGGTTTGTCTCATTGGCAAGTGCACCAGCCGCGTCGTTGGAAGACAGCTGCTTGGTGATATCAACACCATTATCGACCAAGTAGTCCGCATAGCCCCTCAGGAGGTCAGTGTACTGGGCGGCCCATTCGGTGTCACCCGTTGCTCGCACGTAGGCCAGGATCAGTACCATTAGATTTCCACATTCCTCGATCGGCATTGGCTCGGCTTTTTGATTGTCATGCCCGATGGCATTGGGGTAATGCTTGCCCATGTCGTGGATCACATACGGCTTTTGCCAGCGGCCAGCAGCCAGGTACCTCATCATCGGTTCCAGCAGAAGGCGGATGTAGTCCGGGTCCAGAACGTAGTAGATCGGGAAGGCGGGCATGATAACGTCCACTGTGTTGAGGTTGCCATTGCTGGAAAGCTCCTTGATGAATGCCAGAACATCGGTGGTGTCGAGAGTGTCATTAGGAATGGTCACCTCTATCCCTCCATACGCCTGGCGAGCCGACAGTGTGACGATATCGGCGTACTTCTGACCAGCTGCCGTTTTGGCTTGCTTGGCCATCTCCGTATCGAGCACCCGAGACTCCTGCAGAGCGGCGGGATAGTCGTCAAGGAAGTGAGAAACCGCGTCGTGGCTATCCGGGTACTGCGATCGGTAATATCCGGTGTATGGCTTGCCCAGGTAATTAATGGACTCTTCGCGCACATGTCCAACGGCAAATGTCACTGAATCTGGGCTGTCAACCCTTCCTAAGTCGTGCGAAAGGGCTACAATGCCTCCTGGAGCCCATGACTTGCGGATGTCGACCAGCCTCCCGGTACTGACAAACTGAGAGCGCACATCACCCCGTTTCCCAGATGAGAAAGAGAGTTTAGACCTAGAATTTGGGCGAGAGGCGAAGATCGCCTCGCCCCAAGTGGCCATGTCATCTACTTCCGAGTAAGGGACGCCGTTCTTCAACCCCAACGAAAAGACGGCCGTGGAGCCGATCTCACGGAAACCACGTGTAGTGTGTTGTGGCTTGCCCGTCCATCTTCCGTCGATACTAGAGTAGATCTGAATGCTCTTAGGATTACCCTCCGATACAGAAACGGTCAAGTAGCCTTTCCCACCAAACGGTCAGTTTACTGAAATACGATAAGCTCAGCTGAAGTCAGGATATCTTACTGAAAGGGAGGGACTGTCGCAGATAGTTTGAGGGCGATATGGGCGAGAAAAAGTCCAGAGTGAAAACCACCGAACCAGCGGAAAGAGTAAACACTGAATGGGTCGCAGTATACTCGGCGCTTCGAACGATAGCAGGACGGATGTTCTCGCCCGGATTCTTGACGCTCATCAAACTGTACGCCTGGCCATCTACGCGAGCCATAACCGACCAGGTGAGACTCTGTCCCGCCCAGAACTGAGGCTCCGCATACGGCAATGTCTGAACCTGATCGCTGGGCATCCATGTCGAGAGATAGGGGCTCCGGACAGCCAGCGGATAGGATGGAGGTAGCGCTGGCTGATGATCAACGAGAGCACGCTCTCGTTGGGAAAATGCGGAGAGAAGCATGGTAGTGAGCGAGCCAATACCGAGGCTCTTGGTGAAGTCTAGATACATGTTGAAGTAACTACTTCCCGGAGATCCAGCCGTGGAGGTAGTCAAATATAATGGGAAATTTACTGCCCGCCAGCATGGAAGACAGCAATGGGATGGGGAGGATGATGATGATGATGATGAAGTGAAACGGAGAGTGGGGTTAGAGCGGAGTTCAGTGCTGAAGTTCAATGGGGAGAAAAGGCACCCCTGGCTGGCTGGATGGAGCTCTCTCGTCGATCTCGTGGGCGTCGTCAGCCGTGCATTTCGTCATTGGAGCTTGAGCTGGCGTGGCAGCCTGGCCAGACACGCTCAGGAACCCGCCCGGCCCCTGGCACCTTTGACGACTCAGTGGAGCTAGTCACACCATCGGCGATAAACACCATGTTGGTCGCGTTGCAGACTAATTACCATGGAAGCGCTGGGACGGGCTGGTTGTCATGAGTCGATGATTCGATGATCTCCCTGGTTAAAAGGCCCGGAATGCGGGGATGCCGTTTTTGGAATAGTGCCATTTTCCCCAGCTTAAATTGAACTAATCTACGTACAATACAGAGTGAGGAAGCAGTATGAGGTATTCCTAACACGTTTAGATATTTTAAATTCAAACAGTATAAGTAAAAGCCAAAGCTTGCAGCAGACTGAATACTTAGTCCATCCATCCTACAACTGAGACTTCTCAATCCTTCTGCCGATCTCATCGAAGTGGATCTGCTTCCCTGTCACCAATGCCTCCTGAAGGTATGCGCCAATCTCAACAGCCTTGACTGCGTTGGACAACTTGAGAGGTAGTGGCTTGTTATCCAAGCAAGAGGCAGTGAACTCATTCGCCTCGTTCACAAAGGCACCTCCGAAGCGCCCGTGGAAGTTGGCAGGGACCTCGCGAGTGATGCCTCCATTGTGGTAGTAATTGACGAAGTTGCGTTGTGGGTTGATGTTCACAGACAGCTTCCCCTCGGTGCCAATAACCTCCGTCGTATCTTCTTGTCCGTGGGGCATCATTCGAGAGCAGTAGTAGTAGGCGATCTTGCCATTGTGAAATTCGACAATTCCGACGGCGTTGTCGTAGTCCTTGTACTTCTTCAACTCAGGCTGGACAGCCGTGATGCCATGGGCAGAGATGCTCTTGGGAACCGAGTCCTCTCCCATAAACCACAAAGTCAAGTCAATGTCATGCACAGACATGTCAACAAACACACCACCCGACCACGCAGCGTAAGCAACGTAGAAGCCCGAGGGGTCGTACTTGTCACAGGTCTGGCTTCTCACGATGGAGGGACGCCCGATCATGCCCTGGCTGATCTTATCGTAGACCTCGCGATAGGAGTCATCGAATCTCCGAGAAAAGCCACACATCACCTTCAAGTGTGGCTTGGTCTTGGCCTTTTGCGCAACTGCTCTGCACTACCAAGGAGTTAGCCATATGCAAGTGTGGGAGGAGACACTACGGCTAGGGATCCGATTTCATTGGATATTTGAGACATACCACTTCCACATCAATTGACAATGGCTTTTCACAAAGAACGTGTAGGTCTCTGTCGATAGCTTTCATTGTCTCCTCAGCATGTACCGAGGTTGCCGTCCCGATGACGACTGCTTGCAAGCCGGGGTGCTCCAGCATCTTGTCGTAGTTGTCATATAATGTAACTCCATACGGCTCTAGGTGTTGTCTGCCCCATGTGATTTCAGCTGGGTCGGGGGAAAAGGCTGCGACAACTTCGGCCCGTGGGGTTTGGTGAAGGAAGTTATGGACATGGACCTTGCCTATCCGGCCCAGACCAGCCATACCAACTTTTAGCTTTTGAATAGGCATTGTGAGATACAAGTCTGTGCGTAAATGAGGAAGAAGAGTGAGATTGGATTCGAGAATTTAATATAAGATGTCCACAAGATCTTTTTGTTGAATGGAAGGAAATGAAACCTACTGGGGGAGATCCAGAGGCCTTATATGTTCTGGAGGCTTCAAAGTACATTGTCCTGGATCCAACCATGCCGATGGGGAAAATTTCCTTCTTCAACCTCCAAGTCCATATTTCCCCTCTGTAGATGGGCAGCAATTTCAGTTTCTGCGTTGTTTATGCAATGGAACGGAGAGAGATTCATGCTTCGATAGACAGTGTGTAGAACCAAGACGGGTGGAGTTGCTCACTCCAGACGGAAAGACTTGCCGTCATCCACAAAGCATGGAATTGGCGCGACTGATTGGATGATCCTCTGCAACACACCGCGGGGCGTCCCCACTCAACATTGCTTGGGCAAGGCTTTCCATAACATTGATGCTCCCCTACAGACAGACTGGGTGGCTATCGGTGTGATCATTCTTGTCATTCCTTGATTCTCAAGCTTCTACCCCATATAGAACTCACTTTCAGATTCACTGAGTGCGGGGTATCCTCCAAATGTACATCAAGGGGTATAGGGGTGGGGGATGATGGCACGGCAAGAAAGATTATGAAAAGTACAACAACCGGAAAGAAAGCCATCACGCTGAGCTGCTCTCAATTAAATGTCTCTTGACTGGATCGCTCGAAATATCCGTGTTGAACGAAGCGATGTGGCTGTGAGATGATTTTATGCGCGCCCGAAAGAAAAGTAGGATCCCCATCCTCTTTGCTTCATCCAAGCATTTCTGTGCGGTCGGCTTGGATCAACGCCAGCATTCTTCTCTATATCTGGCTGAATCTCTTCGTGTTTCAAAGGCTGGGATCTAGATCCGTCCCTTTCGGTCGGTGTATTGCCACTCAACGATCTTTCCGTGGCCTCTGTGATTGCTTCATCTAGCAAGGAGGCTGCCTTAGGTGTCTTCAAGCTCCTCTTCTTCACAGTAATGAACACAACGGTGAATAGTACTATGACAGCGGAATTGTCAGTGCCTGTTCGACCACTTAACCAACACTTTTGATTCTGTTTCAATTCTCAGAGACATACCACCGATAACCAACACCAATGCCACGATGGTGCATAAAATAATCATTCCTTTAGAGGAAACATTTTGCGTCGTTGAAGATGACTCTGATTCTCCATCTCCGTCCTGGCTGTCGACACTATTAAGTATACCTTCTGCGACCGCTGGTGATGATAGCACACATAACACCAACCACAAAGGCTGTATTGAGTACATGGAGACGCCGATCATGTTTGGGGTACAAAATGTGAGATACGCCGTGAGATTATTTGGATCGATAACTGACAGATAAAATCAAAGATTAGGTGAGAGTAATCAGGCATGGCGAGAGCGCTCAGCATATCATATATGGGAGTGATGGGGTCACCAGGGGTGCGCGACTTGTGAAGATTCTGCTGGTGTACGCAGCACTACGACATCTTATTCTGTGATAGGCTTAACTGTGACAGCCTAAATCCTGAAGATGGGCTGGAGTGTTTGACTGTGTGGGAAGGCCCGGGATCATGCAGTTTCACTGGTTTGAGGGTGAAACGCAAACGTCAAATCGGAGACGCGGAACTTGACTTAGTGGCATACCGGCGCCAACTGCAACCACCAACTCTGCATAGACTTTGAAAAGTGTCCAATTATAAAGGTGGCTTGGCCGCCGATGCACGATGGCTCCATAAGTCTTCAGATGTTCTGCATTTGCTCGGGCGCAAGTGAGGCTGCGTCGGACTATTTGGACGAATGATCACAACTATACACCTGCGCTACAAGAAAAGCGAATGCGACATCACCAAATTTAGCTCTGCAGAACGTCATATCTCTGGAGAGAAATCTTGTGACCTTGATCTTCCAGGGAATGGCAGAGCTATACGTTGGGTATTATCATATGGCAGTGATAATTGAGGTGTGGAATAGATGGCAGTGCCATCTTTTCCAGCCCATAATTGGCCCGGTGAGGCGCCTTGTCGGCCTTGTAAGACAACTGTCTTTTCTTTAACCTGACACCGATCCAAATGTCAACGATTGACATCCTGGATTTCATAGAGGTCAGGTAGCAAAAACAGTGATGTTAGATGGCTATTTAGCTTGAATCCACAATGACTAGTAGTTAGTAGGTAACAGTACCAGTGACACATACACTTATCAGTATGTTGTGCAGTCACAACTCAGCCTCGGTAGAAATAACAACAGGACATTATCATGCTCGATTCGGCAGCCACTGGCTTCCGTTTGTGCATTTTCACTATTCAAGTCACGAGGGGTTATCTGTTTTGGTCACTCAGGAAACTTCTTGTCCCGTTCCTCTCTCTTCACAAGACTTGCGGGCCATATGAGGGAGACTGCATTGTGAACTACGCATACGAAGAGTACAGACGTGAAAACAGCAACTTATATTGTGTTCTTCTGTGCTGTCGCCCTTAGGGACTCATATCTTTACAAGGCTAGTCACTTTCTTATCCACTGTGTTATTATATACCCCCGTCTCTTGCTAGACACTGAAAATCCAGGAACTGATAATCAAACTTCTCAGTCACTCACGATGCAGAACGAGCAAGAGCCGATATCCGAGGCGGATTCTACAATATGCCCCGATATTACGAATCTCGCCGATGGGACTACCTATGACGAGGTGGAAGAATTGCTACTCTTGCATTTGGCAGATCAAAATGATCCCCTCCCGCCAGAGCTCGAAGCAACTATGGTCTCAGAGGAGGAGAGACACATGCCTAGCAGACAGGTTTCCCCACTACTCATGGAACGCCCCAAGAGTTCTGGTATTGACATGACAGCTTTTTGCTTCCAGAGGCCTACTCAGGGTCCAAATTTGTTCTCCCTGCAGCCAGAAAAACGCTCCTCACTGAATACCATGCCTCCTGGGGCTGATGCTCATCTCGGTGGTGGCAAAGGTGTATCCTTTGTCACTCGAAAAGGACTGGGACAAGAAAGGTAGTAATATGCCTGACAGTTGTTGCTAGGCTAACCTTCGTTTGATGTACAGTTCTTCATATCCAGCGAACTCGCATATCAGCACACGTAATGTAAACGTGATTCCACGAAATGGATCTCTCGAATCACAAGAACCAGAGGACACCTCTTTAGAGACAACACAGGGCAAGGCGCATGCTGGGCATGACTTGCACGATTCGCATGCTGCAGCTAGTTCTGTGCCCCAAGTCGACCAACGCTCGTCCGCTGATTCAGGGGCAATCCCCCCAGAAGATGCAGCGCTCAGTATGTGCAGCACAATGAAATGAGTGATTGTCACTGACCTGTTAATCAAGACAGACGTACCACTTCTATGGGACACAGAAAAGTAGGCAGCAAACAAATTATGTCTCTCCCCTGCTGACGAGAGTCCAGAACACCGAAAGAAAGGAGGTGACAGGCCATGGAAGCAAGGCAGTTAACGCACGTATCTCTGATGAACCACTGAGAAGATCAGATCAAAGCAAAGCGACCGAGCAAAGTTTGTTGGTTGCTAGAAATCAAACATCAAGAATCACAAAGCGTCGCCGTTTAAACAAGAAAAGCACATTCAGTGCCAGACTCCCATCCACTGGTGGCTCTGAAGACGGAGAACCCAAATTATCAGAAGAAGATCTATTCCAGTTGCTAATCAACCGTATCAGAGATCGCGAGGAAAGTGCAATGGTCGCCTCCAAGATGAAAGAGGAAATGGAGGCCAAGATTACAAAGGCGGCAGAGGAAAACAATATACTGAAAAGCCAACTGGAAGAATCTTGCCAGCATATCCAGAAGCAATCATCTCAGCTCCAAGCCTACAAGTCCCGCATGGAAACATGGAGGTCGAAGTTCGCGAAGTTTAGAAGCTTCTTGAATGAACTTGGCTGCGACTTTCAGAATTTACGTGGGGAGGCTATTCAGCTCAAAGGAACAAGGAAAGAATTGTTGATTGAGAGAAATGAAATAAGCACCAGCATAAAAGAAGCGAAAGCACAGTTAGCTAAGGTTTCAACTGACGCAGAACATAAACGGGGTGAACTTTCAAAGGTGGAGAGCCAAAACGACCTGCTCAAGCAAAGTCTGAAAGATGCCGAGGAAAGATCGAATTACCTTTTGACGCAGCTGTCGGATGAGAAGAAACGATCAAGTCTTCTTGAAGTCTACATACAAAATTGTGCCAGAGCTCAGTCCACCAAATTGGACAAGATTATGTCTCATCAACGTGAGATCAGAGGAGGTTTCGATGCTGCCTTAAAAAGTCTGGGCGATCAACATGTTGCTTCCATAAAGGCCCTCCAAGAGGGTCTGAGCTGTGATTTCAGCGGTTGTCTAGCCTCACTCAGAGAATTGTGGGAGGGTACCTCGTCAGGAAAGGCTGACGTAGCAGCATGCACAGCCATTATCCACGCCTTCGCAGCACGGTAAGCTCAATGATTTGAGGGTAAAATCCTGCCAGTTAGCTAATATGGCTCTTTAGCATGGACTCGGCGATGCACCAGCTGGATGCTGGTATCGCAAAGGGGACCGAGGCAACTGCAGGCCTGACCGAGAGTCTGAAAGCACAGACTGAGATTATCGGGAAGCAAGTTGTCAGCGAAAATCAGCTAGTGGCAAAGATTTCGAAAGATTCAGAAACTAGTGAGAGTTTGCAAAACGCGCTTCGAGAATTGACGGCCGCCAATGAGGACATTAACGTCTCAATGAAGGGGCTAGAGGCGAGAGAAAGCGGTCTCCTCGATCAATTTACAGCTCTGGAAGCCAGTCTATCGGCGATGCAGCTACCAGACCACAAACAAATTTTAAAAGAAGAGACTCAACGGTTTGAGCAGACACTTGCCGATATGGAAAGAAAGATCCAAGGTTTGTCGGAACAGTCCAAGTTGGCCGAGGAAGCCTTGAGAAACAAGGATCTTGAAAATCAGGCATTGAGAGGATCGCTGGAAATTGCATCAGCAAAGGTGGAAGATGATGATTCTCGCGTCCGGAGGTGCGAAGCGGAAGTAGCAACACTGAAGGATGAGGTCAAGTCTGTGGAGGCAAAAGTCCGTAAAGAGCTCAGTAGAGCTAGTGTTGTCTCCCGAGAACAGGATCGAGCAAGATACGAGCAGAAGATCCATGAACTCTTACGAGGGAAATCAGAGATTGAGAGAAAAATGAGCGAGGTGTCCATGCAGTTGGCTGAGACACGGCGAGATCTAGTAAGTTTCAATACGATTGAGGGGCAGAAACATACTGATGCAAGAAAGACGGTGCGCGAAGACAAGATGAAGCAGCGAGTGAATGAAATGGAACTCCTGGTAAGCAAGCACGAAACTCTGTTACTGTCAAGATACTGACTTAGTATAGCTTGGGTCCAAAGAAAAGGAGAATGAGGGTCTCAAGAATGACATATCTGAGATAACATCCAAGCTAGAGGAGGAGAAGCACGAAGCAGCAAGACTTGGAGAGGTGGCGTCGTCGAGCGCGGCGGAGCAGGCATCTCTTCAGCATCAGATTGAAGAAGCTGCTCACCGGATTTCAAGTCTTGAGGGTGAATGCTCCAGAATCAGCAAAGAGGGATCAAAGTCGATCGAGAATATTGAAAGCAAACATGACATGCTCTGCAGGGAGTTGCAGAAAAAGGAAGATGAGTGTGTTCTTATCCAGTCACAGCTCAAGGCTACGATGTCAGAAAAGGCGGAACTCGAATGCAGCAAAGGGAGGGCGGCAGAAGAGATAAAATCACTACTCAGAAGGGTCCAAAATTCTGAGAAGTGGATGAACAAGCTCAAAGCAACGCTTGGTCAAGCGGGCCTTGTCACCCCTGATCAACCAGCCTCGGAAGCATGGAGCAGCCTGGAAACTAGCTTGCGCACAGTTATTAGCAGAGATGCCGCCTGCAATTCCTTGAACTCATCTCCTGGTGGCAACCAAGATGTTGGTGGCTCGAAGGCCCGAAGTTCGACTCTAGGACAGGATGTCTACAAGGCTACAGAAGTGATCTACAAAGCAGAAAGCTTTCAAGCAAGCATTATCTCTTCGCCCTTCCCAGCAAAAGCTAACCCGACAGAAAACGACGCCGCAAAACAGCCTTTCTGCTCCGCGCAGAACCCCAATATTGTACCTTTTTCAAGCTTCCGCCAACGGTCACCGATAGATAGTTCTGTCTTCGGTAATGACCAGGATGATCTTGCAGCTATGCTACTTCTTACTTCAGAGCAACAGGTTCCGAATGAGGTACATTCGCTTAACAAGCCCGTCGAAGCCCAATCGACAGGATCAGCCAGCGTCGCTGTGTCAGCCAAGAGCAAAGTGCTTCAGCCAGACCCTCAAGACATGAATGATGAGAAGGCACTCGAAACGAAGTGCAACACTAAAGGGACTGCAACTAAATCAAAAGGCGTCACTTTCGAGGCACAGAGCACAGCATCACCGGGGCAGAAACGTAAATCGACGGCCGGGAGTAACCTCAGTCCAAGGTTTTGGCAGAGCCAGTCCATCGAGGAAAGACCAGCCCGTCTGAATCGACGCACATATGCCAGGGCTCGTCAACCCGCGACTCGAACACTGGCAAATCTTGAGGAACAATCGACCTGTTTACCTAGGAATGAGATTGCTGATGAAGCTGCGCATGCTGCCGCATCTTGCTCCACTGGAAACAAACGAGCCAAGGTTTCTGTGGATCAGAAGCCACAAACAAAGCCCGTCAGCGAGTACTTCGAGCGCAAGCCGAGCCCCAAGAAGCTTGCTTCCGGAAGCAGCAGGCCTTCTTCATTGAATGCCAGCCAGGGGACCAATTTAAAGCGAGCAGCTAGAGGTAGGGGAACAGGGCGAAAGACACGAGGTAAGACGCAAGATAAGAAGTCAAATCAAGCACACTAACCCAATAGGTGATCATTACAATGCTCGCTTCAGCCGAGGAGCCTGAGGGGTACATGGACGAATACGTCGGACGGCAGTCGGGGAAGAATGACTCTGTACCTGTTTTTCTTCGATTTGTGCACCTTCTATCTTACCCGGCGTGATAATCGAGAGGTGGAGAAAAACATATCCCTAACTCAATTTCCGCAACACAGAATGTCTGAAGCTTTCGAAATAATGTTTATGCATCAACACAGATAAATTGATAAATGAAGATTGATTCAACCCAGAATGTCTTGCTCTAAACGCCACAATATAACACCGAAAAAGATACACAGCTCGAACGTCCACGGAAGCCTGTCGTTATGATCCAGCCTCCACGACCATCCTCGCCACTGCACCGTCTAATATACATGATCGTCTCATATCGATATCCTGTGATGGCTCATCCCAAATCCAGCCGGTAGATACGGTATCGGTATTGGTATCGGTATCTCGCAAGTCGTCTCGTAGCGGTTAACCGTAGAAAAGAAGCCGAAGCTTAGCGAAGCGCAATTATCGTCAGAAGTTGCCTCTTAACCACCCACTCTCTCCCAGCAAGATATATGGACACCGTCCACCCGAGCAGGTATTCGAAACGAAACCACCGAATAAACAAAGGGAAAAAAAAATAATAGTATCCGGAACGTGAAGATGGCTTATTTATTCCTTCCACCCTTCGTAGCCTCCAAAAACAGGACCTTCTTCTTCACGACGGGGTCGTACTTGAGCATACTGAGCGGACGGTGCGTACGGGGACGAATCATCGTGCGATAGAAACCGGTCATGGCCATGGAGATGAGACGCACGGTGATAGTGCGCGACTTGACTGTATGATGCCATCTTTTGTCAGTTATCATCCATCATCCTAGGTGGATTTCCGCTGTGTTACTGCTGCCGGTGCAGTCGAGCTTTGTGGGAATTTTCGGCGCAAGTGTAGAGCCATGGGGAATGTGTTAACGCACCTTTCTTGGCCATTTTGATGTGCTTTTGGGGGAGATTAAGCTTGAGGGGGTGGATTGGCTGGGCTTCGAGTCGAGGGACTTGCGGAGTTGCGCCGGAGAAGTTTGGGAGGATTGGATTGGGATGCGGGCACGTGATGGGGGCGTTTCCTGATTGGGGGGGTTATAGCTGGTGTGGGTCATGTGACTTTCACGTGGTCAAGTCTCAAGCTGTATACTTGGGAGACTGCTGATTTATTTATGTGCGATCAATATGGCCACTACTTAAAGTCAACTTGAAAATCTGGTGGAATGCCAGCCGGCCAGTGAAAGGGATGAGATGGGGCGGCAGCCATGATGGTGTGTTGACATCGACTCGACTGACATCCAAACTAGGTCAGCTGGACATAGACTGTATTCGAGAAATGGAAAGCTGGACGCGGGTGTGGACGCAATGAGTTTATTTTAGGGTCTTAAGTCAAAAGAAAGAAGCCTCTTTCACCGAACTAGCCCGGCTAGCTCAATCGGTAGAGCGTGAGACTCTTAATCTCAAGGCTGCGGGTTCGAGCCCCGCGTTGGGCTGTTCAACTTCCTCTTTCCCTTTGCCCGGCTAGCTCAATCGGTAGAGCGTGAGACTCTTAATCTCAAGGCTGCGGGTTCGAGCCCCGCGTTGGGCTTTCTTTTTTGTTTTTCGATTGTTGGTTTTCTTAAATCCATAAGCATCCGCTACTAGTACTTGTGCTGTGGGGGCTTCTTTTTGGCTGTCAATTGAGTGGGATTTGTGTGGAAACGGATGGCCTCGGTGAAAGAAAGGGTCGACTACACTACTCGTAATATTCTGCCGCATGAGCGTCTCAGCGCATTTCTTACTGAGGGACTCTTTGCCGTAACATTCGAGAATTCTACTACATAGACCATGATGCTCCTTGTTAGCTGCCTAGGGCATCTACGAGATCCCAGTACCTTTTACCCATGTTACGCTACCACAGTGGTCAGTCACATAGTGCAGCCCTGAATTGACCTCGGAACCTGTCCGTCTCTCCCCTAAGGTCAACAGCCACACATCGCATATGCTATGTTCAATGCTACCTCGATACCATTGCTGGCTTCTCTCTCCACCCAATACACAGCATAAAGTATAACACAAGCGCCTCTCCAACCATTGACCCACAAGCAAGTGTCCAGACAAGTCTGACAGCATACTAACAAACTCACTTACGATGGTGTGATAACGTACTTGTTGTCTCTGTCCCATGGACCTCAATGCATATATCCCCATTCCAACATGATATACGTACATCCAAGTGGATCCCCATTCTTCAGCAACCTACCTATTCCGTCCAATATCATCTACTATTATGATCATCACCGACCACTCTAGACTAACGCACAGACACATCTCACCATGAATAACATAGCTAAATCACCCGATAACAGACGTCGATCTCACCAGTTCCAGAGTCTGGACAGCACTTGACCTCTCCACTCTAAGCCAACTAGCCAGGTTTCAGGTTTCAGAATCAAACCAGCAATGTTGATGATGATGATGATGATGAGCTAGCCTAACCCCGGGCCGTGCTATAGCTCCATAGTAGGTACTACTATCTTCGGAGAATTACCCCATCTCTATCTTTTCCCCGATAGACGGATACATTAGTACCTGCCAATGATCAATAGATATTGGGTCTGAAGCTATCCACAATAACCGAAAAGGGCATTAGCACACCCCGGTAATAGCTATCTCAACTGCCGATGGCAACTATATTTAGTGTACAGCACAGACACAGCAAGCTCTCCCTACTAACTGACTAGTAAGTATCTAGATAGTATCAATACCTGCCCAACAGCCCCATACTACTACCTCCGAAGTACCTAACTAACAACAGGAAACAACATCCCATCCCATCCGTATCAACATGATCCACAACATGTTACTATACTAGCACCCGGGCTAGCACCCGCTGATCCGGCCGGAAGCAAAAGTACCACCACCACTACCACCACCATCTTACTCTCTACGTATACGTACATAGTATCCACTACACAGTACAGTCAAACAGTCACTTGCTGTCACTGTGGCATACACTACATACCCACTAAGTATAGCTACCGTCTCCACCATGTACCCAGAGTACCCAGACTTCGAGTCGAGGCCAGAGCCGGTGGAGTACCCGCAGTGGGGACTCTGATCCACAGGGTACAGTGACAGAGGAACCACGTAGCGGGATGGATTTCAACGGTGCGATAACCTAGTAACTAAGTAACTAATCTAAATGGGTAATAATTACCAGCCTCCTGGCTTAGTACATATGTTGTAAATCGAATTTGTTTGTGTTGTGTTGTGTTGTGGTGGGAGTTTCATGTGCAGTGTTATTCCAAAGATTTGAACAAGTAGTGGTAGTATGCATCTGGGGCAAGGATCAGTGCAGAGTCTACTAGCAGGTCGAGCCAATAGGGTAGATTAACTGGCATGACTCACTCACTCACTCACTCGCAATGTATGTTCATGTACGGTGTACCGGGGTATAAGTGGTAAGAGGGAAGGAAGGGAATGCACGATGGGAAATAAACTTTGCGCGGATGAATGTTAGAGGCTGGCTAGCTAGCTAGCTAGCTGCTAAGGGGGGAGGGGGGGACAGGGATAGAGCCGCAGTGCCGAAGGAGGGTATAGTAGTTGGATAGTATAGGGGAGGAGAGAAGAAGTAAATTATGTGGCTAAATGGCTAGGTAGGCACTAGGCAGACAAATGAGGCTGTCTATGCACATGCAGAGTAACGGGAGTTAAAGAGTTGGTTGGCTACGTTTGCAGAAGAGTGAGACTTGCAGAAAGACCACTTGGCAGTGTTTGAATTAATTTCATATTAAAATACAGCATCACTTATTGGACGCGTAAGCACGAATCATGGCAGCGACAAAGGAAATAGTGGGTGTAACTCGTTCGAGTTCCCTGATGAAAAAAGACCAAATGAGGGGAAGGGGATGATCCGGGTGGATCATCGGTCGGGGGACGGACTGCATGCAGGTGAGCTGCAGCCATCGGATGGTGGGTGTGCCCGTTGACCACTTGGAGTAGGAGTGAGTCAGAGCTGCAGTGTGCAGATGGAAGCCTGGTTGCTCAACAGTGAAGGAAATTCCTCCTTTTGCCTGCCTTTTCTTTTTTTTGGTGGGTGATTTTTGTGTTTTCGCCTGTTTTTGTTCCTTTCGTTCGTTTCCTCGTCTTCACCCCAAAACAGGATAGGATAGAATCAGACAGCAGGTCGGTAACAGAACAGTAAGCAAGGAATCCAGTTCCTCCAACAAGGATGTAGCCGATCTCTAGGCGGGGTATAAATATAATATCCCCGAGGACCCATAGATAAGCTGGCTACCATCGGGTATGGGTCTGGCTCGTGCCAGTGTCGCAGGCTGGTCTAGCCTTTGCTGCGACGGGGCCGGGTCGGTGATAATAATGGTGACTTGTCTGCACCGCAGAATATCCACAATTGCGCATGCGTGAAAACCTTAATGAATGCATCAGAAGCTCTGCTCATGTCCCTCAGCGGTAGTAGTCGCTCGGCCGGTAGATGCGCGAGGACCGGTTGACACGCGCAATGCGGTCAGCGGCGTCGGCCTCATACAGAGACCCACGGCTGGGAGAGCTCCGCGGAGAGGTGTAGACGATGACCCGGTGACGCCTCAGAGAGCGTGGCTCTCGCTCAATGATTGCTGTGCAGGCCACATCTTCCTGGGTGGTAGTCCGGCGGACAGGGGCTGGCTCATGGCTGATTATCGGCCGCTCGCGAGCGGTGACTTCCTCCTTGGTGTTCACACGCAGACCATTTTCGATTGCTAGGAGCAGCTGGCGAACAGCGACGCACTTCAGGGGCACCCTGACCAGGGTGGATCGGTTGCGCTCAAGGTCAACAACGGAGTAGATCTTTCCGTTCTTGCTGCGGAGGTATTCGGTCACGTCGCGGGCATACTGGGCACCACGCTTGCACAGCGAGCGCTTCTCTTCGTACGCGGTCATCGGATCCGCACATCGAGTGCAGTGGTCGGCGTGGCCTTCATAGGCAGAGATCACGTAGCTCTCGTCGTCCTCGGGGTCGCGTACGAGCACGACGGGCTCGGAGGGCTGCTCAATAGGAGCAGGCATGGTTGCTGAACGACGGAGGGGTGTTCGGGTGCGATAACGAGGTCTTTCGATTCGAAGAGTCTCCTGAATGGAGTAGTAGAAGGGGGGCCAGAAACGGAGAGACTTGGAGGGCGACAGCGTGACTGGCAGATGGATCACGAGGACTATAACAAGGTAGTTTGGGCTTGTTCAAGCGCGATGAAGTTGTGGTAGTAGAGATGTAGAAGTCTCTTTGGTGGATTATATATCTGGATGGTTGAGAGAAGTGTGTAGTGAATAAGTGAATGAGAGGAGGTTAATTGGGGGGGAGGAGGGAAGTTATATAGTTGAGGAGGATGGAAGGCATCCATGATTGGCATACAGTGAATGTTAGAGCAGAGAGACAGTGGTCCCGGGAGCAGCCATGACGAATGGGTCACAGGCGGAGAGACTAAAAAAGTTTAGCAACATGGAAATTTATTCTGAATTTCTTTTTTCTCGGAATTTAGCAAACAGTAAGAAACTGTGGTGGAGGGAATGGCAGCCTGCGGGTGACTGCTAAGGCTCAACGGGAGCCTGCCTCAGGACGAGTTGGGACTAGTATGAATACACTAAGTAATACTAGACATGGGGAGTGTGGCTGGTGCAAAGCAGGCAGTGCTGATCCTCTTAACTTGTAGTTTGTTGTTGGTCCGGCGCCTGTTGCAACCCGTTCGCTCCTCACCCGCTTTCATGATTGGCCCTAACTTGGTCCCAAGCAACCCCCTCCTGTCAGACTAACCAGTCCCTGTGACTCCATTCGGGGACTGAATGGTCATGGCAAGTGGACACACTAGACACAATACAGTTAGCAATGACCGACTCAACCAGTCCAGGAGGGGAGTACTATACCTGTTTTAGGGTCGGGGAAGGGTCGAGTCATCGGGTTAAAGTTCGATGATGAAGTGCTCTTCAAGATGTGGCCAGCCCAACTGTGGCTTGACTCCTCGTGTCTAGAAACTAAGCCGCACGCCAGTAGTAGCCACCTTTCCTCCTCTCTGGTCTCTCAACACGAACTCCCCTAGTTCATGACACCATAATCCGCCCGTCTTTCAGGGACCGTCAGCATCCCCGTCTCACCTCCGCCCATTGTTGGTCAGTATCCATCGTTGCGGTAGTCCGTTTCACGCGTTAACTCTCCCATGTCCATGCCAATGCTCATTAGCCATGCAGCCGCTCTCTCCGTTGACCCGCATCATCTGAGACGAGAGATGGCTCGGTTCCATTCTGTTGGTAACCTACAATATTGGCTTCCTCTCGATCGCTTCTATTCTATTTTTGCCGCGATCGCGACCGGCTAAGAATAGGTGTTTCGAACCTGTTTCCCCAGCGATCCAATACGAGCATCCCATGATCGCCAACTTCGTGATAGGGAGATGTCTGAGCCCCAGACTACCCCTTACGCTAGCAGCCATGAAATCATCGAGACCATGTGTCTCGATACCCTGCTGCGCCTCAGCCACAGGATGACTGGCCGAGAGCGTTCCTTTCTGCCACTCCGGCGCTACAGCCACAGTTCAACCCACGAGGTATCTGCGTGCGATTATGCATCCTGCAAGTGCTGATGGTTCTATGCCTTCCATCACTGATCGACCGTCCGATCGGTTCTGTCTTTTCGTTTCGCTTGACGCGCGCGCAAGGAAATCGTCACCTCGTATCCTATCGCGGTGACGCCAGCTTTCCCGGAGGCTCGTTTTCGTTTCAGCTCTCCGTTTTCTACTGTACTACTGTCCACCATTTCCCTCGCTTTTTCAGGCTACAGCAACCGTACCTGTCCCTTGGGACTGCCTTGTGAATGTCGGATCGATAATGGCGCAACGGGCATGACGAGCATGCGCATGGCGTCCACCCTGCGGCTTTTTTGCATCTCAGACCACGGTCTCTCAGCCTGCTAGGCTCCAGCGCGTCTATTCACTGGGTATGATTGTCAGTTGGGAAGGCCCGGGAGAGCCAATGCCTACGGCGGATATATATATAACGAGTGTTGGTGAAGCCCGGGATAGCTTGTCTCATGATGGGCGTACCCACCATGCTCAATATGGAAATCTGCCTTGCGATTGCCACTCATTAGGCGCCAACCTTGCCCATACCTTCTATTGACAACAGCGCAAAGAGGCTCAAAGACACCATCTGATAGTAATCGTAACACGAATTGTAGTTGTTGTCGCCGTCTTATACCGTGTACAGAATGTTTCCTTCACCGAACTAGCCCGGCTAGCTCAATCGGTAGAGCGTGAGACTCTTAATCTCAAGGCTGCGGGTTCGAGCCCCGCGTTGGGCTTCTCTTTTTGCATTTCGAAGATTCGCATGTGGTGGGCGATGCCACTGGAAAATTTTTGGTTCGGAAGCTTCGGTCGCTCCACCTGATCCACTTACCCAATCATCGCAGCGCTTCAGCCTTACACTGCAAACAGGAGTCGACTCGAAAAAAGATTATTGGATATCCTTGCACTTTCAGATTTGCGCGAATATTGCGTTTTCTCCATCGTCGATTTTGATATCGGAGTGGTTGGAATTGACGCTGTGTGGCGTAGCAGTCCCTTTCCTCCCCATAAGGCTGCATACCTAGTCCAGCGGCTGAATGCATACCCACATCACCCACAGCTACTCGACAAGCTTCTCAAGGATACACAGCCCCAACAATGACGACATCAGCCAGTGTCACAATGAATTGTCAAAACAATGTCTCTGAAGGATGACCATTTCTGGAGGTTGGACATACGTCACGCATTTCGGTGATCGACCTGTAGTCCGACTCAGTTACCTGCCAGCTCCCCCGAGTTACCGAATTGCGCTATAGCATGGCACCCATTGATGTAACAAACCAGGATCAACATCTCTTGGATATCGAGAAAGCCTCCCCGACCATCTCGTGGTTGTACAGTATCTTCACCGGCAAGGCTTGTAGTCTCAACGGGGACAATGCTACAGCTGCAATGACCATCCGCGAGTGTCCAAGCTTGGGAAGTCCAGAGATCGAGTTGCCGTGCAAGAGCGACACAGACACAGTTCCCTTAAACTCGAGCACGCAGAGGCGAGTTACACATGCGTATCAGTGGTGCACACATCCCAGCTCCAGACTCAGCATCAGTACCCTCTCCAACGTTGACCATCCCGGGGTGGAGGCTCAGACCTGTACCACGACCCAAGGCAGGCCACCGTCTATATCCTGGTCATTCAGACCGTCCCACCTAGTCAGCTACATTCATTGCTGGTCTGTGCCCCGGCTATGCCTTGTGAGTTGGTATCGAGGCATGCGTCACAATTTATCCATAGCGCCATCCGAATTCCTTGTTACTATCCGGGTTAGGAGACGGCTGGTGAGAGACCAACAACGACATAGATCCTTGCAGTCAGCCTGATGCTACTCGTACTGCCAGGTGCAGCCTTTTACCGAGACGAGTATGTTGAACAAGTGTTTACGATCGGTAGCCTGGATGATATGAGGCATATACGGGCTGCCAGCTCAGATATCCCGATCGTGTCCGTGTGCACCCTTCAGCAAAGCAGAGGATGTGACATATTGAGACATCGAGTTACATGCAAGTGTGCTACGTCGATACCCTTCTAACGACATCCCGCACCGCGTCCCAACACTTTGACGAAGTCGTACTCCTCTATTTACTGGCACTTATCACGGCACCAAAGCCCCAAGATGAATCGCAAATCTGACACAGGCATTTGAGTGATTCACAACGGTCAGGGAGATATAGCCAGGTCAATTGAAAATACACATCCTCTGTCGAACCCACGATGTGATGAACGGATATATTATCCGCTCATACTCAGCATCCATACCAGTATAACGAATCAGAGACGAGCGAGATTGGTAGCCTGTCACCGCTGGATAATGAAACGGACGTATATGTTCCTCATAGCTATTTCGCCTCACCCGGTAGATTCGGCTATCCAGCACGATTCAAAGAGCCTCTCCTCGGACAATCCGATGCCAAACGGGGGAGAGCGGGACGACCCATTGTGCACGGACGTGGTCCCTTTTCAGGGATGTTGCCGTGTTCCTCTGTTCGCGTGCCTCCATTCCAACTCGGATCATAATTGGCTTCATGATCATTCAAAGTGGGGCTGTCTAGCCCAAGTGAGTCGGTGAGTTGGAAGCTTAGATAACTGTGTCGTTGAAGAAAAGATTTACTGCTCAACAAAGATCGGTCATTGCTCAATGGCAGCGAATCAGGAGAGTAAACAATACATATATCAAAATGCTTGAACTTGAGCAGCAGATGACTCTTCAATTCCTCGAGTTACACACACACCGGTGATAAATCACACGTTCTGCTTACCTGCCCTGCCACTTCGCAGTGTGCTGTCCATCGGACTCCTCATACGAGGTCTACACTGACTTCCAACCCTCCACCTTCAGCATAACCCAGCAGTCGTCTAGTTTAGCTACCATGAATCATGCCGACCGGAGTTATCTATACACGTGCAATTGACAGCAACTCCCCCGTTATCAGATAAAGCAAAACTCTGCAAATTGGCGAAACAACACACGCTCCATCCCGCACTGTGGACCCTGATCGGCACAGAAACATCCAAGCCCCGTGCCCGTTCGTATCTCTACCCAAAAGCAGATGATCCCAATCAAACTAGGGCAAGCTAAGGGCCCCCAGGAATCAGGATCGCTTTTGGGAGCTGAATAAGCGAAATGCGTCTGACAAGCAGGTCCGCGCGCATTCGACAAAATAATCAGCCTTGTCCCCTTACTTCTTCAACTTCTTCTCTCATCCTTTCGGCCCCGAGAATGCGCCTTGCCTCGGCCCTTTACCGTCCCCTACGCAGATCCAGTGCCAGTGCCAGTCCCATTCATTAAACCTACTACCACCATGTCTACCTCGGACATCAAAGGCTACGCCATTCGTCGCAATAATTCATGTCTCAGCGACGAAGTCGGATGCGGGCCGACATGGGAGACCTGGCACGCTTGCTGCCCATCCGGGTCCAAATGTCCCGGAAAAGAGTACTCGATTCAAAACAATGTCTGCTGTCCGACTTGGACGGACTGCACTTCCGAGATCAAACCTGCCACCTGCGCCAATAGCTCCTGGAATATGTACGACTACGATGGGTATTTCTGCTGCACTGAAGACGAGAGTGGATTCAGACTCAAGGGGACAGACTGGGTGGGCTGCTTGAGCCCCGATTCGCCGGGTAATGCCAGTTATAGCGCCTTGAGGTTGATCGCAACAAGTGAGTACATAACCTCCAAGACAGATAGATACCTTCAAATCCATTCCTAACATACAATCCTCCCCTCCTAGCCTCCTCAACCGCAACTTCAGCCCCCACATCCACATCCGCATCAACGGCCACAGCATCAGCAGCAACAACCACAGCAGCATCATCCACCGGTTCCGGCTCAAGCACCAACACGGGCGCAATAGCCGGAGGCGTCGTCGGCGGTGTCGCCGGCGTCGCAGCGATAGCCGGCCTTCTTTTCTACTTCCTGCGACGGCGCAATAAACAACGACCAGAGTCACAGACACAGATGCATCTTCAACCACAGGACCCTAGTCCTCAATACTCGGCATACGCCTACAGTCAAACTCAGCAAGCGTATTCCGCCCCAGTCAGCGAACTAGATGGCCAGTCTGCGCCTGTGGAATTACCCTCGAATCATGCTCCGAAAGCTGAGTTGGCGGAGTATCGGTGATGAACATTGCATTCTCAAGGATGGTTATTTTGCACATAGCGGGCGGGCCTCCTGGAGGTACTGGTTGGTACTTTCTGTTAAGTAGGTTTATTTTTTTTCTTATGTTTTATGATGTGTTGGGATAGGGTGCCGCGGGTCGGCTACGAGAGTGTGAAAATATGCAGATAATTTCATACATGGTTAATTCTACATTGGTGAGATTATGAACAGAGATACGAGGGAACAAGCCATCCGTTGAACACTGACAGAAAGCTTTACGGGGTGGACAGACACTGTCTATGATGGAAGCCAATCTGCACATATTATGGGCTATCTAAGAGGGAAGGAACCCTTCTAGGTTATGATATAAGCATCTTCGAAATGAAGATTTGGTTCGTCTTAACTAAGAATATATAAACCCACCTCACCCTTTCAACCTCCACAAGAACTAACATCTTCTACTTACTAATCGAGGAAATGATGCTACTTCCGATCAACTAACCTCAACCACACATATAACTACATTCATTCATCAACACCCCCTATTGAGATTATTTACTACATACAAAAGACAGAGTAGAGTATGAACATCCACACCTTCCCCCTCCCCTCCACCTCCCCATCCCACCCCATCCAACAACTTCTTCCTCCGGAAAAAAAAAAAAGAAAAAGGCATCCTAAGTAACAGGACACCAATCATAATTCCCATTCGAATTATTCCCCCACCAAGAGGGAAAATCATGCGCGACACCCGCAGCGCCAAACACTGCAAACGAAAGAATAAACACGATGGTCAAACTAGCGCCATCAAACGCACCCGTAATCAAATACGAGTAATCCTTGAAAATCCTCGGATGATAGTTCCGCAGATAATACTGCACGAAGAGGCCTGAGAGGACCCAGCTGAAGAGCACGCATGTCTGTGATTGGTTGTAGGGGATGTAGCCGGCGTATTGGATGAATTGCGGCATGTTGACTTCCGAGACGTCGAAGTTGCGGATTTTGGGGACAAACTGTATACATTTCATAGATAGATGGGTTAGTTGGGCTGGGTGGTAAGATGGGGGTAATGGGGGGAATGGGCATACGTAGTAGAAGAGACGGTGGGCGACGACAGCTGCGGCGCCGATGGCTAGACCGATGGGAACCATGGCGTAGGGAGTGCCGGAGCGGTAGAGGTAGGAGGCCAGGGCCCAGGAGGCGGCGTTGGTGTTGTAGGATTGCATGGTGGCGCCGCTCCAGGAGGAGTTGCCGTTGCCGTTGGAAAGGAGGGCTTTGTTGCCGGTCACGATGGAGATCATGATGGCGTAGTTGATGAAGCCGCCCAGGATGGTGCCGTAGATTTGGGTGAGGAACATGACTCGTGGGGGAATTTTTACTATTGGAATGGGTTAGACTTGTGCTAGGAATATGGGGGTTCGTGAGATGGCTGCTTACGGTATTCGCCCATCTTCAGGTCGTTGGATAGGTTCACTGCGTTTTGGATCACGTTGTGGGACCACGCTGCAAAGTACATGTTTCCAACGGGGCGTCCGGGAAGCATCAGTCCTGCTAACATCTTCGAGAGATTGTTGGTCGCGATTCCGTTTCCGTAGCGAGAGTAGAGGATGGTACTCTGCAAATACCGTTGTTAGTGGGAGTAGGATGTCGGTTATGGGGGTACTTACGAAAGGCGAGATGATAATTCCGACGATCAATGAGACAATGTACGCCCAGGCGGGGAGGGTAATATTCTCCTTGAGAACCACCACCAGTCCGAGAACAAAGCTGATGACAAGCACCGCAACGTACCACCACCACGGGGTTTCCTTGTAATGCTTGGCCATGTGCTCGTGGTGGCGATCGTCGTAGCGACCTTGTTTGGCGCTCTGGTATGCCCGCTTGATATCGCCGCCCCAGAAGATGATACAGTGCATGATGAGGGCTCCGATCTAGAGGAGGTTAGCTGGATAGCTTGCACATATCTCTGGTGTACTTACAGCAGCGTTGGCCATGAACATAGCATATGCAAAAGTTCCAGTTAGTCTGGGTACACCGTATTTAGCCAAGGCAGATTTGTCGAGCACTCCGTCAGGGAAGACGCTGGAGACCGGATACGAAGTACCGTTCGCCATGAGAAGCTGCGTGGACATGAATGGAAGGGATTGGGCGTTCCAGCCGTTTCCGTAGTATATGGCTACCATGACGATGAAGCAGAAGGCGATGCCAATGTCCTGGTGAAGCTGGAGCTTGAGAGGAAGGGAGGTTTGGAAGGAGGTGATCTGCGGCAAGTCAGCCTTGAGAATTTGTTAATAAAATTATCATCCGTACATATTGCCAGTCGAAGCTGAGAGAGAATAAACCCATTCCTTCATTATTGGTGGCTCCACCGAAAACATTGGTGAGTACAGCGCCCTTTTTGCCGGTTGCTTTCTGGGAAGCTAGACACTAGAGCCATGTTAGTACCCCCCACACCCAAGGGTGGAATGAACAACGTACCGGAATAGAAACGGAGTTGAGCCACGGGAATATGTATGCAGGAATAATTTCATACAACGACATGCCAGTAAAGGCATACCAGAAGTACCGGAGCGGCTTGGAGTTCTTGACCTGCTGCCAATGCAACCCTTGAAGGGTCTTGACCGTAGGAAGAGTACTCCAGTAGACCGCCTCAACGTGCCAGACGGCAATGGGTCGCATAATGCCACAAAGACCATAACCGAACAGACCGATCGAAACGGTACTGAAGATGACAGTGATGGCACTAAAGGGCATATTGTAGAAGAGGTTCTGCGCCGCAAACACCTGCGAGGATGCAGAGGCATTGGAAGCAGATGTAGCTGTGATAGCGCAAATAGCGTGCTCCTTCAGAGTCCACGGTCCAGGATTCACAAACTTTATCCACCGAATATGCCATGGAAGCTTTCCCTGACCACCCTTCTCCCTCCAACGCGCTTCAAACTTATCACCCCGGGGGAGGAACCTGGCCCAGGCATTGCCGACAAAGTAAGCGATCAGAACGATGAAAGTTCCTTGAATGGTGACGGCAGTAGGCTTAAACTGTGGACAGGTGTCAGCAAGGAGTCAACACATCTGCACAACGGCTAAGGTGTCTTGTGCTACCATGTAGATTTGGTTCATGACCGCCTGGAAGCACGCCAGACCGGAGGCGAGAATGATACTCCGAAATGTCAAGGCAGGGTCGAAGTCATCCCTGAGTGGCAGCAGGTGAGCGGCAGCGTCTGCACCAGTGATGATAATGGCGTCTTCGCTTTCGCGGTCCTCTTCGCCGCTCAGCTCATCACCGGTGATCCTGTGGTCTTCTTTGCCAGCGAGCACCGTGACAGCGGACTTCTCATCGACAGCATCTGGGTGGGGGATTGAGACGCCGTCACCCTCTCGGGCTGCACCGGTCGTTATTGCAGACATGTTGGCAGGGGGCTCACTTTTCCAGAGGCACGGGGAGGAGAAATCATTGCCACAAGGTGGTCCCTAGGGGTCTTTTTATATTCTCGCCCCGATAAGGGTGAATTGCCATGGGAGCCATGCCACGAGTGAATTGATGATACCACAAACCACGGCGATTAGCCATCTTGCTGAAAAGGGACTGGGAGGCGGCCCTGCGACAGGGCTAGGGGAATCTAGTGGGAGGTCGTTGGATGCACAACGCTCCGGCCTCTGCGCCGGTGGATTCGTTTCTTCTCGAACGCCTCCGAACCCTCCAATTGACGTTCGTTCCCCTCACCTAGCGAAGGACCGAGTTTAGATAACCGACCTGCTAGTCCACCCTCCTTCGGGTCACCATTGGTGCAGGAATGAACCGAAAGCATGTAATTCTACCGGGAAATCACCTGGCTCTCCGGGTTACATCCGAATGAACTGTAGCGCGTGTTGTAAAATCTTTGAAGGGCTGCTGGAGATGCCATCGCGTGTGCTGCTGACGCCATTCCGTAGCGGCAATTTCGCCCCAAGCAATATGTGGCACTTTTTGATTTTCGAGGGGTGCAGGGGTTTCTGGTACCTGGTACATCAATTACTACCCTGATTTCCCTCACTTTAGTAGATTCCTGCATATATTAGGGGGCCCGGTAGAACATTTGATAAGGCTTAGGGCGTGACAGGCGCATCCAGATACGCAGAGGGGATGATAGGCCTCCCCTTTAGAGGAAGTTCGATGCTGGGCGCGATAAGAGAAAACAGAGAGCCAAGGGAGTCCGTTCAGGCGTCGGAACTCCTACGGAGCTCCTGCAGCACACCTCAGCTCGCCATCCATGCATTCAACGAAGTGGTACGCCCCCGCGCTAGTGGCGACACCAGTGCGACCCAGGTCCCTGCTCTTCTCTCTCGCGGAGGATTGGTGCAACCCTTTGTCCTGTTCAAGGAAATGGACGAAGGCACTCGAGCCAGGATTCATCGTGTGCTGGCCAATTTCAATCCCTGAAATAATCTGGAATTGGTCAGGTGTGTTGTATCAGACCACCATTGACCCATTTGTCCATCAGGATAGGGTCTTGCGCCATTCGATAGTCCCCTCTCGAGGAGAATATCCATCCAGTGAGAAGCGATCCATTGAGCATCACACAGGGTTACTTCCGACCGAAACCTGGCCGTTCCGATGGAGACCCTAATTGCTGTGTCCCACGTGGTCGCTACTTCCTACAGTGCTGCTTTTGTCAAAGATTTTCACTCCCCACCTTGGCTGTCCACCTGGTGTCTGTCCTGGCTGCTTCGGCTAATCCGACTTTGAGATAGAGCAAGCCAATCATGTTTCCCATACATAGAAATAGGCATAAGATGCCAAGCCAGATAGCACCGAGGGACGATCCTATCGATAGCCAATGCCTGCGGCAATCTGCCTGCCGATAAACACTTCCCCAACCGTTATCGCCAACACGAACAAAGTTCCAACCCGCACTTCTTGGCTGGATAAGACCCCAGACAGCGGCGACACATTTGCCAAGGTTTGTTATCGGTCCAATAAAAACTATCACATGAAATAATAACATAACCCAAAACTATGCTCTCTCCCAGGCTCGGTATAGCTCCCGGAAATTGCAATCCCGTCCCAGCAATGCCTGCGGCGCGTCGCATTCAAGCATCTCCCCATCCTGGAGGAACGCTACCCGATCGAACCGATCAATGTGAGCGAAGCGATGAATGACAGCAATCACGGTTTGGTGGCGAAAATTCTGCTCGATAATTTCTTGCATAAATGCTTCTGTCTCTCGGTCGACGCTACTAGTGGCCTCGTCGAGGATGAGGATGGGCCGCGGGACCACAAGCGCCCGGGCGAGCGCAAGCAATTGCCTTTCGCCCACTGACCAGGTTGAGATGCTGGACATGTCCATGTCTAGCCCCCCGTCGGTACTGATTCGTCTCCACAGATCTACCTTCTGGAGCCCAGAAGTGATGCGTTCATCCGTGGCCATTCCAAACGGATCCAGATTGAAGCGAACAGTGCCGGGGAGCAGAAACGGGTCTTGCGGGATAACATTGATAGCAGAGTGAATAGCTTGTCTCTCGAGCTCCGATATGTCGCAGCCACCGATCGATATTTTTCCGGATTGGATCTCGCTCATACGAAGAAGCGACATTATTATAGATGACTTCCCACTACCTGATGCTCCGCAGATGGCTACCTTTTCACCATGGCGAATAGTGAGCGACAGATTCTTCAGGACCGGCGGGCTGGCTTGACTATGGGTATGGATTATTAGCTTGGTGTGGAGAGCAGGGAGACACCGGCGATTGGGCTGAGCGCAGAGATTGCGTGGCTAAAGAAACGGAAAGCTTACCTGTATCCTGCTGTTACATTATCGAATGCGATTGTAAACTGAGAGTGACCCGATACTCCCGGAACTACGCTCCTCATGAGGCCATGGTTTGCCTCGCGAGGAGTGTCTTGCACAAATCGTTGAACTCGCGAAACTGCCCCGATGGTCGTCTCAAGACTAGTCCAGGACCGGAGAGTGCTCGAAATAGTGCTGTTGAAGGTTAGGATCAAGCTGAGAGCAACACCGACCGCCGCACCGTTATATTGGTCGGCCAAAGAGGTTGTCATCGCAACGATAATCACTGCCAAAGCCGCAACAATCAAGCCCATTACAAGGGTCAGCCATTGCTGTATGCAGTACAACATATAAAAAGGTCTTTGTGATTTATCGAGGAGCATGTGCAGTTTCTCCTGGAACCAGGGATTCATGCCGAAAGCACGGAGGGTGGTGACCCCATGAACTGCTTCCGTGAAATGCGTATACAGGGGAGCCTTGGCTTCCAAATCCAGCAGCCGTACCTGCCGAGAAGTGCGAAGGTAATATCTCTGGAGTATCACTAGGCTGACCAGAAGCGCTGGCACTGCAACTGCGAGGTACTTGCTGACGATGCAGAGGATGACCAATTTGACCACGCAGCTTGCGAATCCTATAATGGCTGGCGTTAGCATCTTGAACCCGGTCACCCCCAAACCCCACTTCCTCGATCGCTGAATAGGATGGTATCCAAGGAAGCAAAAACGGGCACGGGTATTACCTGTCAAGTACATAGATGCTACCAAAGGAAGCATCATGTCAATCAACTCCATATCTTGACTAAACCTATTAGTCAAGGCGCCTATTTCTGTGTCCTGGAAGAACCTCAACGGTGCACTATCACGGATGATTAGCGTAAACGTGTAGAAGTATGGGGAGAATCTTCAGGCGTACCTCAGCGTCGCAGTGAGAAGGTCTGTATGGAGATTCAACGCAGTATTGTTGATTATATTTATAATCAGAAGCCTGTGAAGATCATGGGCACAAGTTAGTTATTTAGTAGTCGGCAAAATACTCGCGAATAATAGAAAATTACATACCACAATCCACCCACATTGCCTACGAGTTGTATCACGAAGAGCGCCGCATACACTCCCAAATACATACCCGCGTCTTTGTTGGGACTCCTTTCGTTGGCCTCCACCCACCACTGGATCCATAGAGCTAAGGAAGACCGGGAATCAGTTGGGAAATAGAAAGATAGAACTACAGATAATTTGGACGTACTTGTGAAGTCTCCACTGACTGCTTCCACAACAATGAAAGCCAGACAGGTTGCAAACGGAATGAATCCAGCACTCCTAAAATAGTATTTGTACACAGACCAAGTTCCTTCGCGTCGCAGAGGGCTCGGAGAGTCTGGAGGTGAAGGATTCGCAGCGGTATTGCTCAGCTCATCACCCTCTTGCGTCGCGGATGCCGCGTGGTCTGCAGTTCCGACGGTGCTCACTGGGGACTCGGTGCTTGCGGGCTTGCTGAGCTGCATCACATTCTCAAACGACCCAGTCTGCACGATTCTACCTTCTTCAAGAACGACAATATCGTCCGCATATTGGAATAAATGTTCTATCCAACAATCAGCATATCACAGCTTTTGCGTTCGAAAAGGCCGGCCCCGCAACTTACCTGTATGAGTGGCTAGAAGGACTGTCATCCCAGGTCTGCGAAAGTATCCATTCGGGCCGAAAAGACGCGTAGAAATAACCCTGATGTTGTTCGAGTCAAGTCCACTGAAGACATCATCCAGGACGACCAGCCTTCTCCTCGAGTAGATAGCACGGCACAATGCAACCCGCTGCTTTTGGCCGCCACTAAGTGAAAGGCCATTGGTCCCTGCACGATACAGATCACCACCCGGCATATCTGACAGGTCTTCTTTGAGGCCGCAAGCCCATATGGCAAACTCATACCATTTCGGATCAAATGGTGAACCGAATGTAATGTTCTGGCGCACTGTATCATTTATGATGAAGGGGGCTTGGGAACAATACGCCATTTGATGATCTTCAACCCGCACATCCCCAGATTTGATCACTGTTTCACCCAAGAGACTACAGAGCAAGGTGGACTTTCCGGAGCCTACTGGTCCAATTAGCATGGTAACTCCCGATCCGACACGCAAAGTTATGTCATGAAGCTTATTTTCGCCAGCCTTTGACCACCCAACACTAGCTCGCTCGAAAGAGACAGGCGTAGCACTGTACTCTGACTTTGGTTGAAATGATCGCAGCTCCACATCCCGATCATTATCTGTGAGTGAGAGCACAGGGGATGATGCTGTATGCGTGACAAGCCCAGCGGGCTCTTTTTCGCAGTATTCTTCAATGCGAAGATAACACGACATGGCTTGACGCACAGAAGGCACAGCCTGGACAAAGGTGATGAGTGGACTGGTAACGAGGGAGATCAACGAAAGAGACGTAAAGGCCTGACTGGAAAGTAATGTCTTATCGTGCTTTACCACCGCGATGATGGTGTAGACAGCGAAGGTTGCAAAAGGAGCGAATTCAGTGGGCACGTTAGCTGTGGAAGATCAGTTTTAGTAACATTAGTCGGAGGCCTTCTTTCCGCACATATAACAATTTCCCAGATGAGCAGCTTCCGGAACCGCTCAGAGATTTTGAGCTCAATCTTTCGTAGCTCGGATGTGGTGCTCAATAGGACCTGAGAAAGTCCGAGCATCTTGATGGACTTGATGTCGCGTAGCATGGTGGACGTCGCTGCCACTCGGGTCTGGACGCGCTCAATCCATTCCTTTTGAGCCTGTCCTGATCGGGCAGATATTGGCCCTATAGCCAGCACCGAGCCTATACAGAATTAGTCAAGATCTGTCGTAAATTGAGTCATACAAATGCGTTGCTGTAACCTATTGCAATGACGGCAGGAACTACGCAGGCGACTAGAAGCTGCCGTTCTAGCAACCAGATAGCGATACCGACTTCTAGGACCGAAGCCCACGTTTCGTGGATTGTCTTCTGACTCTGTACAATCCTCTCTACATCGGTACCCATAAGAGTAATGGCTGCGGAGTCCTTGATATCGCTGGCCTTGAGACGAGAAGTTTGAGTATAAACCATAGAGATCAAGCCGGAGCGCACTTTGGTGTTGAACCGATTTGTTTGGCGCCAGTAGACTGCCGTAGATAGCTAAAGGGTACGTTAGTCTCAGGTGTGTCAATTATCATCATGGATCACCCACGACCCAGCCTAAGTAGACCAAGACATATGCACCAACAATGGCTTGGCCACGTCTCTTCCTATCTGGGTCGGACCCATCGTTCTGTATGTAGGCAATAGTCGTGGTAATGAGAAATGGTTGACAGAAGTTGAATGCAGAGAGACAGAGACGAGGCCCGATTGCTGACAGGAAAGTATTCCTATAGGCGGAGAAGGTAGAACAAAGTAATCGATGTTTGCCACTATTGATTTTCCAGGCCTTCTCCAATTCTTCTCCGGTGAGTTGTGTCTGTTGGTCGGCGTCCATTTCCGGAATGTCATCAGTACCCAGCACCTTTGAGTATCCGGTTTGAAGAACCGGGAGCACCCAAATGAAAAAGCTTTGACCCCAAAATCCCAGAATGCCTTCCCCTTTCGTTTTCTGGTAGAGTGGGCGCAAGAACCGATTCTTATGCATGGACTCCGCGATTAGTACTGCGATGTTGAAAACAAAGATTGTTGTCCACAATGCCCGACAAGGCTCACTGGCGGTAGATATCTGCCATAAGGAACGTAGTTGTGGCAATACAAGAAGTAGTTGCACGGAGTAGTATATAACCAAGAGGTCAGATGGTTTAACAGAGCGCTGATCTTCGAGGTAAGAAAGCATGATAGCCCCGCCTGTCGCGATGATATTCACGATGCCGGAGGCAAGTCCTACGCTGGTGTGCAACTCAGGATCTTCAACTCTTAAGGCTGTGTAGAGTATATGCAGAATGCACAGCACAGCCAATAGAGTCTAATCTATCAGCTCAGTCGATCAACACATGTTATGGTCCAAGCTTGGCCTACCAATTTCACAAGGATCAGTCGGAAAGAATCCAACTTGACGGGCGAAGTGCGAAGCATATACAGTCGTTGTGGAGTCAGAACCAGAAATAGTGCAGCTGGGAGTAGCCCAAAAAAGGCATCTTCAAAAAGCAAAGTGAAATCGAATGGGCGACACTCTGGGTTGACGCGGGGCCCGAATACATTGTCACTGTTTGGTGGGCATGCCATGGCAAGGAACACAAGTACAATTGTGGAAAAGAGCAAGAAGGCCAGAGGAGTATGGGATGTGTACCCACCCCACACGGTGCTATAAGTACTACATCCGTAGGTTGCTGGGCCAAAAGAGTGAACTAAAGGAGTCAGTAATGCTTATCGGCGCAAGTTTCTCACATATTAATTACTAGCGGTAGACATGAGCTAATCCTGGCTACTAGTTAAGCCACAAAAAGCTTGCTAATCATGCCTAGCATGACGACTAACCTGCATGACACCTCTTGTTCGCTGCAATCACATGCTGGATAATCCAAAGCCCGAGTACACGGTTTCTAATTCGTATCAGTATGAGTTGGGCTCCTACTACTAGTGATTGGACCTGCACCTGCACCTTGTGCTAACAGGCATGTAGACTGGCGACTAACGGGCAATCACACGGCCAAACCGGCTTACGAGTCCGCCGGTATCCACTAGTAAGATAGCACATAAATTCTTATCATCAGCGAAACTACTCCATGCTGCTACCCATATTAGCCGGAGCTATAATTTTAGCAACTCTCAAGCATTGCCAAGGTTGAGCCACCCGCTTCTATAGTGGGGTGAATGTTATATCTCCCTTCCAACATTATTGATAGAGCAACTTCGGGCGGGCGCGACATCTCACGTGCAAATGCACGAACCAGAGAACGAAATCGAGCTGGAGAGAATTATGGGAGAGAAAGGGCGCTAAGCAGGACCTTAGACTATAAGAGAGCTCAATCTAACCCACTCCTTTCTCCTGTCTAGCGCAGTTATACCTGATCATCGATTTGCATATACCAGGCGTCCATAGCAGGCGTTCAATAATCGTAGAGACGATGCGATTTGAACCGGCTTTGGAGCTTAATACCCAATGTTTTCCATCCACAACGAGTCGGAGACACTCGGGACGTGCACGTTGCAGACACTGAGCCGCTGGATAGTGCCCTGGAGGGGCCACGTATAGTGTCCAACCCAAGGCTTTCCAGGAGGTTGGTACTGTACATCCTTTCTGCGTCTACATGACTTAATATTGTAGTACCTGCGGCCATGTATAAGAGGCCCCTAAGCGAAGATCCACGTGGGGGCTCGTTTCCGCGCAGTGAGTAGCACCTCTATTAGAATCCGAAATAGTGTTAGAGCCCATCAGGAATTGACTTAGCATCAGGCACCTTATCTGTGACTATAATGAAAATTGCAAAGGGGAGTTCGAACAGATTACGTTGGGTGATAGTGCAACTGCCAAACAATTTTCTGATAACTTGCTACCTCAAGGAGGCGGTGGACGGTGATTGTTTACCCAGAGCGCTATGATCTTACAGACACAAGAAATCTTATAGTAAGAGAAGTGCTAAGCAGATATAATAAGGTAATTTAGATAGTATAGTGAGCTTATGAAAAGGGCAGGTTTCATGTCTATGTAGTCATCATTCTGGAAATTTAACCGCAGCGAAGCCGCTTGACAAAACTGGCCCACAGTCCTAGAGCCGGAGAAAAATGCAACTAGATAAAAGAAATAAAACAAACAAAAAACAAACAAGCAGGTCAGGTAAGTATGACGGCTGCCATGCTGTAAAGATTCAGGTCCCTGGAATGCCTATGCCTATGTTTCAAAGTAACTAGAGAGTAGGTAGACATGACCTGACGTGTCTCTTCACAGCTTTGCTTTATATCGTTTAACGGACTTCAAGCTGTCAGAAGGGATAAAGCAACTTCCACTTGCAATTCAATAATAGTAAATGTACTAAAGTCTAAACATATCTAGCGAAAATGGAGGCCTGAAAAAGAACAACTGATCCTAGCTCTATATCCCACTTGAGTGCGTAACAGAGGAAAACAGAAAGTTCATGAGATATGCAGTTTTAGCTTCAATCCGAAATTCTATCTTCAGCCAATCCAGTCCGAAACCTTCGTTTAGACCTGTTCAATCTCAGCAAGGACCTAAGTCCATTCCTTGCCCCCAGGAGAGTGCTCCTCTCATCCTGCAAGAGGCTTGATCTATTCGTCGCTCGGAGAGCGCTTCTCGGCTTCAGCCAAAACCTTGGTCCAGGGTTCGTCTGAATCACGTGCGACCTGCGAAGAGGCGTCTACTGTTTTGTGAGCGATAGGTCATAGAGTATCCAATGGAGTCACTTACGACTGGCGGGCAAACAGTTGGCACCGATAGCCAAGAGAGCTGCCGCAATGAAGATGCTCTTAATTTGCATTTTGATGGTAGAGAAAGAAGTATGATTTAAGACAAGTCTCTGGTTTCGGAGATCAAGAGAGAATCGACGGAAAAAGTCTTGGACTGATGACAGTAAGAGAAAGCTACTTTGCTTGGGTGATAATAATACAATAAGAGAGATATTGGCTCCATATTTATACTTCCCAAATGGCAAGGCCCTGCGTGTTGTCTAAATTCCGTTTATCCGAGATTGCCTATCTTCCTTCATCTCGACTGTGGAAATTGATAATCGGGAGTCCTCTAAGAGCACACCATATGCTTCCTCCGGTTGTAATGCATATGCAGGTTCTACAATTACTCTATCTCTTGAGACAATCCGCGTAAAAGAGGTCGTCACCATGCATTATCAGTAGGAGAAGTGACAGCGGATTCCTGGTCATATTAGAACTAGAACGGTCTAGGTCTTCATGTATCCGTGTTCTCAGCAATTTCGCCGACGGTGTTTTATTTTGATAAGACCAGCGACACAAGCAATTGGTCCAACATCAGCAAAATTTGAGACTAGCTTTGAAACTATCTCAAGACTGATACCGGATCTAGGACTCATCATTGCAACTGTTTTCAGAAACGCCACCGAGCCCGCCAGAGTCCGAGTACTAACAAGGTTCCTTCCATCGTTACGATTCTGGACATTTACATGCTCTATAGGCCAAAGTACGCACCACGCACAATGTATGAAAGCAACAGCCGGTAGACCTGATCATGTAGCTAGACAGTCGTGTTTGACACTACTACTAATGCTCATACATGGTGAGTATATCCTCCAACCGTAACGCGATGATTATAAAACCGGGTATATCTATATGCAGTTGCGCCGCCCATACCAGTTTTTTTCTATCATAATATGTGACCGATTAGAGTGTAATATTTCTAGTGCCACGGCTCTGTATAGATAAAGAAAACTTTCACGTCGTTTTTATGGACTGGTGGCTCCATTTACCTGCATAGGACATCTGCTCTCTATCACATTGCCAGTTGTTTCTTTATGGAGACAAGCCCGGGAAAAGGGAAGCACTACGGAGTATCCCTCCCAAATACGGCCCATGATGCGATTTGCGAACCAGCTACGAAGTACGATATTGCCATAGTCTCAGGTTAGCCATAATTGGAGGGATACTAGGCGGCAGCCGGCGCAGTAGTCTCTAAAACATTAGTTCCAAAGCGGAGGGGTCACGGACATTTAGCCTGAAAAGCCGTGAGGGGGTTGGCAACAGACTTGACCAATCAGTGAACATGAATCATAAGCAGCATAGTGCACATTCGCGCTTGTGACATGGGATATCGTGCTTGACTCCTAAGATGATGCCTGGGCCCATGTCATACCCGTCTCAAGCACCGACGGAGCTCCGGGGGACCGGCTACGTAGATCCCTGAACACTAACTGCGCCCGTTGGTTTGATACGAGTAGTTGTCAGTGACCTATGAGTGGATTGCACTAGAACAGAACTATCTGAGCCTGCGTACTGGGTACCGATAGTATTTGACCTAAAAGAATCACAAAGTGGATCCACCACACAGACCACGATCAACCTCCTCCCTTTCGACGGGTCGCGGCGGATGAACCTGAAGATCATTAGTCCTTATCTCTCCATGGGCCTATCCTTGATACGTCTTCTGGACAGCAGGTGGTCCGGGCAGCGTCTTTTCGAATAATGCAATGACAGCCACTTTCAGTCACTCCTGGGCATAAACCCTCTCCGATTCTGGCACTACAACTGGGTAGTTTATCCTTTGCCTATTTTGTATTGCTCAAGCCCAGTCACCAGAAGAACTGCAAAATGGGGATGTTTACTCGTGTTGACCAGCCACCTGAGGACGATGAGAATAAGTCCTATACGAATGAGACAGCTGAAGAGGAGGGACTATTGAGCGCGCCTGGACCAAGTACACGATTGCTCTCGAGAAGCTCTTGGCTTAAAGAGCACTCGATTAAAATCCACCTCTCCCTACTTTTCTTGAATGCCCTTATGCTCATCGCTTACACTTTTCCGGGGTCTAAGCCGACATACATCGCATATCCGGACATCGCAACCAGTCAGTATATCCCTCTATAACTCAATTTAAATATTATCCAGCTCATAACCCATGAAGGCCCCTTGAAAAGTGCCGTAGAATATGAACCGCGGCGCTTCGAAACCCTGGCCATATACCGACATGACGGGTCACTGAATCCACACAAAACCAATGCCTATAACGGGCCGCCGCGACCGGAGCTAGAAGAAGCCTGGGATAAACTCATGAATAGTAGGTGGTATAATCAATTCTACACTTAAGTTCCAAGAAAGCAACCACTGAGGTATAAAGTAATAGATACCAATATCCGAGTCACTCGAGATCAATTAGGAGAGGAATTCGCCGCTCAGGACAGCATAGTTGAGCTTAGTGACGGCAGCGGATATTATGTGACTGTATCCGCGTATCATGGGCTTCACTGTGTCCAAAGGCTCCATCATTACATCTATGCCGACCACTATTACCCGGGACTTAGTGAGTTCGAGGCTTTCATGTTGCGACGACATACGGGTAAGTGGTGACGGAGAGTGCCTACTGAAGCCCACGATGAAAACACAATCTTGACTGGAAATTCAGAGCATTGCCTGGACTGGCTAAGACAGTACGTCCAGTGTCACCCAGACCTCTCACTCATTCCAAGTCATTGGATGACAGAGTAAGTTTATTCAGATCCCGATGGCACTTCAAACAAGTTAAAGCTAATACACGATCCCCAGTGGCCCCGGTCCTGTTGCGCCAGATGACGGTCACCGTCAATGTGTTATCTGGGAGAACATCGAGAAATGGATGGCTGAACATTCTTTTGATCCCCATGAGCCCGGGATACTGGTTCACCCAATATTCGGTATGTCGGATACATAATCAAACATTACTGGGTGCTAATACTAGATTAACAGGTAATCCATACACCGAGAATGGGACAAGTCATAACATTGGAGCGGTAGAGCTGGGGAGTGGGGGTTTACTACACAAAGGGGGGCAGCACACCAAGAGGGGTGGCGATGGCAACTAGTAGAGGGTGCACTAGGGTTGGGGCTACCTTAGCTTTAGTTTTAGGAGGGAATTAGCTCCTATAGTCCAGCGGTCGACCTTCCCGAAGAACACATTATTCTTCGACCCTGTAATAAGGAGCTGGTTATCAAAATGCATTCGATAACAGTGTATTTTTGGCGAGTTACTGGATTGGTTAAGCGCTGGAACTAATTTGTCTTCCGGTCTGCGCCGGCCTATGCACTGAAGGGTACAAACGGCTTCTACGCCATACAGATAAGGCGACACGTGCTGTACAGCAAATAAGCCAAAGCCATCAATGGAACTGTGCACCGGTGCTTTGTCTCCCATTATTGTCTCATGGGTGCCCACATCCACTCGTATGAAGTCACAATACACTATAGTTGGCGTAGTTTTAAGACTTTACCGGTATTTTACAGTATGACAGATGTCTGTCAATCAGAACCGTAGCTATCAAAGTCATGCATGCCCCCCCCTGGCTCGCATTATCGGATTCACACTTATCAGCTCACACTTGCTGCCTACTCACAGACATGGGCTATTGAGCCACCCCTCTTGTCCCATCTACCGGGTTTCTCTTTCTCTCTCCCGACCCATCTGAATTGCATATTTCTGCTGCTCTCAAACGAGTCGATCCGTCACGACCCCCTGTCCTCTCACCTCCTCCATCGTATACCAATCCTACACCACGCACTTGTTTAAATTTAAGGTCCACAAGCTTCAGTAGACAAATCATCATGGAATCACCTAGCACCCCCTTCCTGCCCAAAAACAAGGAAGCTAAATCTCCAACAGAAGAAGGCTATTCCTATCAGGAGCACACACTCAATTCCAAACCAACGCCCAGGCATCGACAACCCATATATCTCACCACATTCCATGTATTAATATACCTGCTTGCGACATGGGGATTTGTTTCACTCATCTCCTTCATCATACTTCCATTTCCATCGCCTCAAGCAACCATTCCCGACGTTTATCGCCCTGAAACCCTGCCTCCCGACCTACCCATCTGCGATTGCGGGTCTACAATCAAGGAGGCCGTTCATCGCAACTGTACATACGACTCCCTCGCCACAGCCTGGCTCCCACCCCACTGCCATGACGCCGAGTTAACTGCCCGCTTCGATCGTTCCGGGCCCGGGCCCAATGGCGAATGGAGCTACTACCTCGATGAATACGGCACTGTGCCCATCACCAACGATGAGATCGCACAATTGGCGGAAACAGGAGGCTCCTTCTGGTCAACACGGGAATGGCACATCGCGCATTGCGTCTTCTATTGGCAGAAGTATCGTCGGATGGGGAAGACCGGGGTGGTTATGGAGGAGAGGTTCGGGAGTTTGAGTCATGTGGAGCATTGCTCCAGACTTATCATGAGTCCGGTGCCGGATTATTTCTTCTTGCTTTCGGTTCCCGTGGTGCTGAATTCGAGTGTAGGGGTTCAGCAGATGCCGTCGAGATTGTCTAGGCCTGGTGGTGGTGATGGTGGTCATAACGCATGATCTATTATTGCATGATGGCGTACTTATATGTGGAGAGAGGAATGTTCGACGTATTAGAACACATCATGCTGAAGCAAATGTCCAATGTATTCACGCAGCAGCCTACCATTTCAAGGGAAACTGTGAGACTGTACTGCAAACAGCCATATCATCTGCAATTCATACATTAAGGAGCTAGTCTACGTCTGTCGACATGAAATGGACGTCTGCAGGCAATCTAGCCTCCAAACGTGCAACCCTTGTCTTAATTTATAACACACCATCCCCAGACTCCCCAGCTCATGGTGATGGATAGGTACAGTATTTGTGTGTGTGTGTGTGTGTGTGTGTGTGTGTGGATGTAACTTAGGTATTCTTTGAAAATCCGCGAGATGAAGGGGTCACAGTTAAGTATATACCGCTGGCACTCCATCGGGTTGTCAGATCTGTTCGAGAAAGCGAAACTAAACATGTGGGTGGGATCCGTTCGCGGTCGGCATTTGGCCAGAGGGATGCAGACCTTTTGGATGAAGGCAACGAGGTTTACGAAACTGTCGAATGGTATGTCTTTCTTTGGGTTCTATTTACACATTTTGGAGTTTAGTCCAGGACAATAGCGAGTTTTTAGTGTTCGAAATCTCGATACATGACTTGTTGAGCATCCATGTGTTGATGATATCAGAAAGGTGGAATTAGCACTAGCTTGCCACCCATCCATCTTTCATACCTACGATCGAGGATAGACATCGTTCTCACCCATAACATGCATCCCAATCATAGTGTTCGAAAGACAAGCTCAGCTTCTAGGCCAGGGGAGAATCCGCCGGTAGTTCCAAAGTGAGAATAGGGCTGTCACAAGGAATGTATCGTTCCACTGGCACCCACTCTTTCGCCCCCCAGTCGTACTCATCACAGAACCGCTCCAAATCATGATCCGCAGGATGCAAGAACTCCCTATAGGCTTGACACTTGAAACAGAGCCAGAAATTATCACATACCTGGCACTTCATATTGAAACCGACGACGGGCAGAAAGCAACCGCCACAGAAGAAACTGCCCTTGAAATCAGTGCCAGGTAGCAGTTGATTCACTTCGAGATCATCCGGCACCAGGCGTTCTTTGACGTCCTGATCAGTGTCGTGATATATCGCGACTTCCACTGGCGTCCACTCCGTATCCCTTGCTTTACCTTTAGCGGCGAGATCGTAACCTAGTTCTATCAGATACTCTATCATAGGAACCATATCTTTCCTCGTATCAGTCAAAGGAGAGACACATCTTGCCGCCCAATGCAACGGCGTCCATCCATCTTTATCAACCAAACCCAGATATGTGTCCTGGTAATCAGGATGCTGTTTGTGGCCCTCCAGGGCCTCCTCCACCAGCTCCACGACTCCACTAATCACGGCGTAGTGCAATGCCGTGCGACCCATCGAGTCTCGGGCCACGAGGGCGTTGCTACTGGGGCTTAATGCGTGGTAGTGCTCTAGCCCCCGATAACATACGAGATGAGCAGGAGTCCTCTCAACCGAGTCCTTGCAGTCGGCATCAGCTCCTTCCGCCAAGAGAAGTTTTATGACCTCTGGCGCGCTACTCAAACACGCCTTATGCAAGGGGGATCGCAAGTTCCCGCCCCCATCGTTGACACGGACCCCATTATGAATCAAATATCGGATAACCTCCAGGGTCTCGTTCAACTTGGAGCCATCGACTTCTTCACGGCCGCAGGCCGCCTGCAACGGGGTCTCGCCACCCCCCGGTGCCGCAAAATTGACATCCGCCCCAGCCTCGGCCAGGATGCGCACCATGTTCAGGCTCCCGTAACGACATGCAATATGGAAAACTGTGCCTTCTCCCACGACTTTATTCAGTTGTCCGATCAAAAATGACGCCAGATATTCGGTGACGAGCTCATTGTTAGCCCGCACGGCGACCCAGATCGCGCACTCCCCTTTTTTGTTGGCGTCTTTGGGATTGGCGCCACAACGGATTAGATGCTTGACAGTGGCCACTTTGGTTTTCTGGTTGATGAAGTGCAAGACACCTATCCCCGAGCTACATTTCCGGTCTAGCTTCGGCTGGTACTCCAGGATCAATGGTACGGCGCCTTCACAGTTATGCTTCATGGCCCATTCGAGCAGAGTATAAGGGTCCTGGCACTCGCGGTTGATGTCCACACCGGCCTTCAACAGCAGGGCGACGATCTCGGTGTAGCCGTGGTAGATTGCTATCGACAACGGTTGCTCTCGTCCTCCTCGGTACAGGTCCGGCTTAGGAGTGTTGGCCAGGAGGACTCGGACCACCTCAACATGGTTACCTTTGCATGCGAAGTAGAGAGGATATCCACCTGAACATTGTATGTCCACGTCAGCCCCTCGTGAGAGAAGGAGTCGGGTGATTTCCAGGTGTCCAAGCCGTGTAGCAACGTGGAGAGGTGCCTCGTCGTAAGCATACTTCTTCAGGTTGACATCAGCTTCAGATTCCACCAAGGAGCGGACGATTCCAATGTGGCCCAGCTCTGTAGCAGTAGTCAGGGGTGTCATGCGGGTGTACAGGTCCAACTGGTTAACATCAGCTTTGAATTCGAGTAGGAGCTTCACCATCTCTAGGTTGCCCTTGTCCGTCGCGTAGTGAAGGGGCGAGGTCTCCCATGTTTCACCGTCCAATTCGGGGCTTGGATTTGCCCCTGCTTCGAGCACGAGCCTAGCAATTTCAATCTGATTGTATCGCACGGCATATCCGAGGGCCTTCGTGGCGTCAGATACTGGGAACCTCTCATGATCTGCCAGGATTATCTGCACGCACTCCTTGTGCCCTTCGCGAACGGCAGCCAAAAGTGTTTTGGTCCCTTTTTTGCAACGGCGACAGAGCTCTCTCTTTAACTCGGACATGTTCATTTTGACTGAGGGTGGCTATCCTGACCGAGGGATCTCTTAGTGCGCAGGGGTATGGGTATGTAAGAGAACACTTGAAACAAAAGCAAGTATTTGGTTATGCTAGCCACAACCGAACAACACAAAGGTATTGTCTCCTAGATATAGGCAATGCTAACCTCAATGGGAGAACTTCCGGTGCTGCATAGGTATGACGAAGACGACTCTGAGCACCAATATTTCACACAGACCCTTGTTCGACGAAATTCTGAGGTCATATAGGCCACTGTACAGCACAAAGTTTAAGATGATGAATCTTTGACCACTGCATTTCGCGTAAAGGTGATTTGAGCTCTGCTATGTATATTATAGACAGACCAAAACTCAACACCACACGCGCAGAAGACAGAAGAAGTTGTGGTGCTCTGGACTCTGCCACAAATTTCGATCATGAATACATCAGAAGGGAAGTGGTATGGAGTAGCTTTTTCCCCTTTATATAAGTCCTGGGAAGGGGATTGAAGAATTCACTGCTGGATCTTTACTATTTTCCATCTATATCTTGGACCCATTTCAACTATGATCGTGGGTAGAAACAGGGTCAATGATTGGCATTTGAGCATACTATGAAGAAATGACACATCTTCTCACACGTAATGATAACAGGTTGAGGTGATTCACCTCTTCCAATGCGATGAGGTATTTAAACGTGTATCAGCTCATAGATCGGAACGTCATCTCCCAATAATGCATATTTAGCAAGTCAAGATATACCATCTATATTCGGTAAGCAAGCTCCCAGGGACAGGTATATAAACCTAGTGTCTAACCTCGAACTTGCCTGCATCCTGGGCGTGTATATGTTAGCCAAGCCTTCCATCAAGATTCTATCCCCAATACTGAGTATTTCATTCGGCAAACCCTGAGTGGGTCCGTGATAGAATGGTTCAAAATGCTAGCGGTCAGCATTTAGCGCCACTGCCCCCCCCAAAACGGCCAGTGGGCCCGGAGTTACGAAAGTTAATGTGCTAAAGTCCGATTTAAACCTCAACCTTGTAGCCACTGGATGGAACTTGAGCAAGCAAGAATCTGTTAGCGGTCAGCAATCTACATTCACTCATTTTTCTGGAGTCTACTATTCCTGATCACGGAGCCATAATTTGATCGTTTAATATGAGGGCCCGCGACGCTTCCCCGCAGTCAGCAAATCCGCATGTCATCTATGTCGCTGAAAAACTCCCCGATGATGACTGGTACGGTGTATCGGATGCGAAGGAACGTAGGAGGCGCCAGAATCGGTTGAATCAGAGAGTCTGTCGTAAGCCACCGTCATGATTGGTTCTGAGGACACTCGCTGATGTTCGACCAGGCTATAAGGCAAGACTCGCGCAAGCTCGTTCTATTTCTTCGAACGGACAATGCGACCCCGTCATAACACCTCAAAAGCCCTTGAATATAGAGTCAACTGGCGAGCCCCAAAGTACACAACCTCATCTGGGACAAGATGTAGAACCCGAACTCACAACCCTCACCCGCTTCTACACAGGCCATAATGGCAGCGAAGATAGCAAAGCAACAACAACCACCCGGAACACAACATCCATTCAAGCTAAAATTGATGCATTATGCGCTAAGATGCCTAGCACAGACAAAGTGAACATCCTACTAGAACAAATCGCCAAGTTCCACTCCAGTTACCAGTTGAACTGCCCACAAGCAGACCATCTCCTCTCACTCACGAGGATGAATGTGCATCGCGCCTTCGTCGCAAACATGGCTACTCTCGGCATTACATGGGAGTGGATGAAAGATGACTCGATATCTCCCTTCTCACTTGGGAGGCCTGGGCATGATGACCTTGTTGCTACGACTCTACCAGATAGTCTACGGCCCACGGAGCTTCAGCGCCTAAGTCCTCACCACACTTGGATTGACTTGTTTCCGTGTCCTATCATGAGAAATAATCTGATTCGGGAAGGTGATGACTGGGATGATGAGGAGTTGTGTACGGATATCATGGGGTTCTGGGATGGGACTTCCACTGGACCCTTTGGGTTGATTATCTGGGGAGAGCCTTCTGATCCTAGAAGCTGGGAGATTACGGAAGGGTTCTTGAAGAAATGGGGCCGGTTGGTACATGGGTGTGTGGATTTGATGTGGTCGACGAATCATTGGCGAGCGAAGAGAGGAGAGAGGCCGTTGTTTTCGATGACCAAGGTGTATCGTCAACTGGGTCAGACATAGCTGCAGACTCATTCTAGGAGACAGTAAATGAGGAACAATGGATCAAAGAAAACGCATTTATTCATTGCTTTATTATGGTTCATGACACTTGGTATAGCGTTCGCTAAGGTCCCGACTGCCACAAAATTATTCCAGGGTAATCATTATATATTGTAGAGAAGAGCTCGTCTTCATGAAAAGTTGGAGACACAAAGGAAGACAACATCACACGCTTTAATTAGCCGGAGATCTACAGACACCACATTGTAGCTTCATATGGCTATCACTCATTTAGCACTTGTCCTGACCAAATCTCCGAACCGAGACTCCGGCTGCGCCGCCAATTCCGCAGGGTTCCCAATCTCCACAATCTCTCCCGTATCCATCACAACCACGCGATCAAAATCCATGATCATGTCCAGCCTATGGCTCACAGCAATGACGGTATAGTGTCTGAATTCCGTCCGGATGATATTCTGCATCACTCGCTCCGTCTCATGATCCACACTGGAGCTGACCTCATCCAGCAGCAGTATCCCATTGTCTGAGCCTTTCTTTGCCCGGACACGACGTCTCAGAAGTGCACGGCCAAGCGACAGGAGTTGACGCTGGCCGGCACTGAACGTGCCTGCACTCATGCCAGCATTCAAGCCACCACGATCCTGAACAAAATCCCACAGCCCCACAGTGGTAAGGATGGATTGACATTCTTCAGATGTGGAAACGGAGGAGGGGTCTAGGTTTGCTTGTACGGTGGAACCGTCTGGTAGGAATACGGCTTCCTGGGGAACTGCGATGATACGCTGGCGCAGGGTAGGTCGGTTGATTCGGTGGAGCGGAGTGTTGTCGATGGTTGCGTTCATGGCCGTTTCTGGGAGGGGGTCGAGGAGTTTAAGCAGGAGGGCAATAAGGCTGGACTTGCCGCTGCCGGTCCGTCCGCAGATGGCAACTTTAGAGCCGGCGCTGATGGAAAGTTGAATGTTACGGAGGGCAAGAGTGGGCGTGTGGTTTGATCCATTCTCAGCAGCGGGGTTACTCCTGGTGAGCATTAGCTTTGCGTGGGTGGTGTTTGCATGAGAAGATAGCTCCTTTACCCATAACTTGCGGATACGCCTTTGAGCTCGACTATGCCACTCTGGGGCCACTGTTCAGAAGGGATTATATTCTCGCTGTCTGTATCCTCCGGCTTCACGGTTTCTTTGAAAGCCTTGAGTCGCGCGATTGCTCCAATGGACGTCTCTAGTTTTGTGTAGAAGATGACAATACCGGAAATGCTATCTCCGAAGCTCATCAGAGAGACCAAAGAGGCACCAGCGAAGGCGGAGTTTGAATGAAGCCGAACAGCCAATATCGTCAGCACCACTGCTATCACCATTACCACAAGGTTGAGAACAAGGTTCAACCACTCTTGGATCATAAGCAGAAGATAAGCAGGCTGCTGACTGCTATTGACTAAGCGAGAATTCTTTTCGACTTCGTTTGTAAGGAAGCCTGTACAGTTTTTAGTTAGCACGGCACTGTATCATTCGAGAACCAATTATAGAAGCAGGCATAAGGGGGATACTAGGTTGGCCATAGGTCGGACACATATGCCATAGCTTACTCACCGAAGGCTCTGATAGTCGTGATGCCCTTGAGAGTATCAAGGAAATGCGTGCTATATGTCTCTGTCAGAACAATGAAGAGCTCCCATATTGTTGACAGATAATGGTACGAAATAATTAGACTCACTATAAGGGACTTTTAGCCTCAAGATCGAGGAGCCTCAGCTGTCTTGATGTCCGAAGATAAAACTTCTGAACCACATAGAGTAGGGCAGCAAGGAAAGGATAACTGATGGCCAAGTACAAAGACGAAGTGAGCATGACAGCCGCTTGTCCGATCGCTTCAAAAACCTGAGAGACACGTGTCAGAACAAATGGAGACTTTCGCCAGGGAATTTTAGTGTGTCACTCAATGGTATGCTTACACAAACAATGGTGTTGAGTGTGGCCTCGGGTAGCTCTGTGTCTATCAAATTCAGATCCTGCGAGAACAAATTTGTCACGATTCCCGTATCCGTATTGGTAAAAAATTGAAGTGGCGCTTGGATCAATGTTCGCAAGGCTTCCTGGTGTAGACCAGCACCAGCTCGTTTCACTGCAATAATGAGGAGCGCGAGCGCCGTGACAAGTAGGGATATCATGCAGCATATTTGGAACGTAGCATAGATGCTAGCGTAGTATGCGGAAGAATGCGCCGGTCGGTTGGAGCCAATATCATCGGTCCAGTAGGTGAGCCCTGCACCACGAGAATGAGTCAGAAAGCCGATCTCTATGGCGTTCTATAACCATAATATTGAGTGCACTCACAAACTGTTGCAAAGTTAATGAAGAACCCCCACAAAGCGGCGAAGATCACACTGCATGCGGCTACAAACAGCCCCATCCTCTTGAAGTAATGCCTGTATACGGCTTTGTCGCCTACTTGCCGCGATTGCTGCATATTGGATCCCAGTGATGAAGTGATAGATATCGTTCTATTTAAGACATCGTTCTTAGAGCTCCGTATTGTCCTTTTCGATGGCGCTTTCTCATGTGTCACATCGCTTTTGCGGGTTTCCGTTAATCCTAGACGCTGAACATATCCTTGCCTTGTTGCCAGCGTAGCATAACTGCCCTGCTCGACGACAGAGTTGTTGCCAAGTGCTATTATATGATCCGCCGCAGGGAGATGTCTGATGCTGTGAGTGCATAAGAGAACTGTCGCGCGTCGTCGTCGGAGCAGGCCATCCGGTCCGAAGACTTTTCTGAATACTTCCTCCTCTGTGTCTGCGTCCAAGCCACTGAAGACATCATCCAGCACTAAAAGCTCGGAATGCAGGTACAGAGCTCGTGCGAGAGAAACACGCTGTTTCTGGCCTCCGGATAGAGCGATTCCGTCAGATCCAATGTTAGATTCGTCACCCTGAGGAAGCGTGGCTATGTCATGTTTCAGAGCTGTCGCGTCGATGACTTCTTCGTACCTCGCTTCATTAAAAGGAGAAAAGCCGACAATATTCTCCTTTATGGTCCCATTTGAGAGGAATGCAGTTTGATCACAAAACCCAACATGAGTAGCCATAGTGCTTATGATCACATTGCCCTTGCTGAAAGGGACTTCTCCAAGCAGTGCTTTGCAAAGCGTTGATTTACCAGAGCCAACAGGTCCCACGATGATAGTGAGCGAGGCTGTAGGCAATCGGGTACTCACATCTCGCAAGACAAACTTGTCTGCCTCCCAACCAAACCAACCGTTTTTGATTTCCACGTGGTGGAGATCATCTAGACCCCCATCGAAGTCACTTTTATCGTTTCCTCTCACTTCGTCCGTCTCACTCGTTATTTTAGCGAAGACTTGGCGAAAATCATGATGAGTCTCACACTCTAAAAAGGCCTGTATGCGGCCCAGACAGGCTATTGCTGAGACAAGACCAGGAATAGATTGAAAAACTTGCGAAAATGGGCTGGTCAAGAGAGTGAGAAAGGACAGGCTCGTAAACACCCTTGTCGCATCCAGAGTTCGTGTCGTGAAGGCAAAGGTCAGTGGCGGACTCATCAATTGTGGAATATAGGCAAGGAGGGCCGCAGTGATGGCCAGCTGGCGGAAGCGGGCACCCGCCGCTAATTCTTCAACGCGAAGCCTCTGCACGAAGTCACCAATGGCCGCAGATAGACCAGATATTTTCAAGTTCTTCATGCTGGCAATGACTGTAGCAGTGAGACCCACACGTTTCTGAACTCCTGCCATCCAGGCTCTCTGCGAGTCTCCAGTAAAGTTGGTGAGAATAGCCAAACCGGAGAAGCAAATAACAACAACACCCATAGGTGCGACAAACACGACACCAAGTCTTGTATACAGCATCCATCCAGCCAGACCAGCTTGGATGATGCTTGCCCAAATTTCGTGCAACGATCTTAAGCCCATCTTTATCCGCTCCATATCTGTACTCATGAGTGTCAGAACAGCATTGTCATCACCAGCTCCGATACGCGCTGTTGTTGCTTTTTTGTAGATCTCTGTGACAAGCATAGACGTCGCCATGGTACGCATCCGGTGATGGAAATACCTACACCAATGTATGAGTAGTCCATTCTAGTGTCAGCATGCTTTCCGGGTTATCATACCATGTGAACGCCCACGAAATAGCCAGCCCCGAATAAATCAACAGGCTAGCACCGATGAATCCATAACCAGTGTTCGCATCGAGTCGGGGTTGGGACAAATAGTTCGACAGCCTTTCAAGAAAAAGTGGTTGACAAAAGGTGAAAGCGAGATAAGCGAGGCGTGGAATTACGGGCAAAAGAAGGGGGCCTTTCAATGTCCGCACCAGCACCTTCACAAGGCCAAACTTATCACACTTGAGCTTCGAGTAGTCCATGTTTCTGGAAAACTCCTCATTGAGCGACGTAGCATCAAAGGAGCTATCCAGGGGATAGAGATCCTCGGTCGCCAGGACTTTCCTATACCCCCTCAAGAACATCCTATTCAGCCAGAAAAAGACGCCAAGCGAGAAGATACCGCTTGTTTCTTCTGGACTGTGCTTCTTTTCGTCCCAATCTAACCATCTGGACTTTTCTTGAGCTTCCAGGAGTAAAATGCATACCTTGAGGGCTAGGGCAGCACTGAATATACTACTATAGCTGATCTCGATTCTGTTGTCTGATGACAGGAACAAAGTCCTTGCTTGAGTCGCGTCCAGGAGGAAAGTCAAAAACAAGTAGCTGCTCAGTAGTGTCGACGGCCTCGGACTTCTGCTATGATCCAAGACACTAAGTAATATCATGAACAGGGCCGATACGAGGTTGAGGATTGAAGAAGCGATGAACATTGTGGTTATCTGGAATGATCCAACCGCAACCAGGACGAGCAGGGACAGTTCAAGGCCCACATAGGTTGTGATGGCACCCTGCGATAGTCAATTCAATGATCATATGATTGTTGCTACATGTGAGATGTCGGGGACGACGTACCAATTTTATTAGCTGGAATAAGGGAGCATTCACAACTACAGGCTTTCGAAATTGACATAACGTCCGCCATAATGACGTGACAATGAATAATGCAGATGGTATGATGGAGAAGAATAGCTGCTCAAATTGTAGGTTGAAGTCGAAGCTATTCCGATTCAGCTGGAGTAAGTTTTCCTTTCCGGTGGTGAAAGGCATTTTGCGCAAAAAGAAAACCCCTGCCCAGAGTGGCCTTTGCTGGGTGCTATAGGCACACAGTGTGCCAGTTGTGCGCTGTCAGGGTGCTAGCAACGAGTTCAGCTGAAAGAGTTGATATGAGGCTTAGGCCTAAGGCTACGGGTGACGCCGTAAGTCTCATGGGAAGCCCCAGATGAAGGCCTTCCTTCTTGCAATATGGTTCATGTTATATGGTTAGAGTTTAGACAGCAAGATAACGACTTGCGGCTCTGTGATCGAAGGCGCCCGAGTCAAGGCACTAACATCGAAATTTTTTACACCCTAGACACCTTCCGGGATAAGCTACCAGGCAGCCAGCTCCTTGTAACTTCCTGGTTGAACACTAGCATGTTAATGCCGCTTTGCCTGGTGTATTCAGCGACAGGACGCCATATTGTGACATGTTGGCGGGATCTTCCGCCATGCATTTAGGCAGACATACCACAATGATAAGGTCGAATCCTTAGGGTTGATAAGAAATCTAGACCATGGCCTATTAATTAACGTGGGTGGGGTCATAGATGCATCGTGCCAATACCACCAAAAGAACCTTATCAGGCCATCTCCACTTGCACTGTCCTCATCTTGTCAACCACTAAAATTGGCCAAGTGCAAACAGACGGCTAACAACACTTTGACCGGCCTCCACATAGTTATTAACTGCGCCCGATTAGCTAACACAGCCCTGCGACTTGCTCAATTTCTTGCAATTGCCATGAGCGAAGGAATAAAGTCAGGAACATCTGGTCGGATATCGCATCTTCCTACTGCAGTAGCTACAGGATACATTTCCTTTCGTCTGCTTGGTACCAGCCTCGGTGTCACCTCTTTATAATCTAGATATGATGCTTTACTAAATAAGGAGGCCATCCAGTCAGCCCTAACAATGCAGTGACCCTTTGGTGGAAAGGGTGATTCTTATACGAAAACGTGATACCCCTCATAGAACATGCAACAAATAGAGGAAGAGACTCCATTCGAAGACATAAATACATGCTGTTGACCATGGACAGTTGACCTCATCAGCCTCGTGAACCTGATTCTTTCTATAACTACGGATACACCTTGAGCTACGGATACAACGTGTACCTCTTCGCAGTGACTAGAAAAAACATCAACAAGAGAAGCACTTGAAAGGTGACGACTTCTATTTTGGATTAGATCGCATGATCCAAAACAACACGGATAACCTCCCTTAATTTGTACAGGAGAGTCTCGCTAACAATGAAAGACGCAACACCATCTCATGTATCTAACCCTCTCAGGGTGGGTCGAGGACAGCGTCACAGGCTATGTGCTATGCAAATCACCAAAGTTTCATGAATAGAAAGGCTATCATGGATAGAGAGACCATAAAAAGCTCATGACCGATTATCGCACACCTTATGATGAGAGTGAAATCCTTTATGGAGCGTCTATCATTGTTTATCGGACAACTCCCGGATATGGCAGCAAAATTACAAAAGTGTCAGATAACATTAAATAAAAGATTGCCAAGCAGGTCTATCTTAACGGGATGCGTGCTGTGCGGATTTGCTACTTAGATATCACTATGTTCCGTTCCGCCAACATGAGGAAGGAATACAAGAAAGAGATCTTCTGGACCCCTTCTGGACCTGGCGGCATCCGGGAAGGTCGGCGTATGCCGTCAGACATGTTCGAAATTCTGGAAGAGATAACATGCAGTCGGACATGCAAAGTGATTGACAGTGTTACGTGGCAGAGGGCGTTGAAGCACATGCAGCTGTCTCCATGGTCTGATAGTAAAAGTGTAGCACGTTGAAGAACGCGTACCGAGATTGAATTTTACCTTGAGGACGAAGTGGGAAAAGATATGGAAGAAGATTGGTTACAGGATTTAAAGCATAGAAAGAAGTTAATCTACGCTTGGCACATTACAGCTCATTGCACAAGTGATACTCGGCCCGCCAGATGAAAGACCACAATGCATTCCCACAAGCGGGAAGATGAAATGTTCTATTATCCCGAATTAATAACAGATGGGCTAAACGGCCATCAGACAAGGAGTGTAAAATGTTCTGTGATACTCTATGCGAGAATATGGGCTACGAAACAGACGAAAATACCCTTTTCTGGATTCCTCGTGCTAAAGGGAGTTATTTGGACTGAGAGCCCGAACCAAAGACACATACTGATGTTGGAGATGAGCTTTCTCCCAGTGAGCCCTTGACAGTCACTGATCACGGTCCTTGGTTCGCGGCGATGAAGCAGACGCAGCGTGCTTTAGGACCTGATTGTCGCCTTCCGACCGCTAAATACCGCGCCACGAGTGAATTCCACATCAAACGCGCTTGGGCAGTTTGAGGGGATAATGGCAGGTTAATCGGACACAGCTATAAGAGTGATACTGTAGATAGAAGGATTCGATATAATGACAAAGTAGGGTATTTCTATATCATTGTGTTCTGCTCTAATACTGCCAGCGTACAGGCACGTGAATGATAATGACCGTGAATGACAAGCATCTTCCGTTGCAAAATATCCTCCGTCTAGTTGTCTTGGTAAGGAGATGTCCGATTTTATAAAACTGGGTTGTAATCTAGTCACTGAACAACATGATCACAGCAGCAGTCTTCGGGTTAGAACTAATTGGCCAACCAGGTTCGCTACTATTGCCAATGACATATATTCATGTCGATCAAACCCCAGGAAATCAACGGAAAGGCCGGCATTGCGGTGCAGGCTTCCATGGTTCCGCATCCCCGATAGCCGAGCTACTAAAATTGGGGGGAGATAAGAATGAAGTTACAATAGAACCGCTGGGGGCGGGGTTCGATTGGAAACGGAGAACCAGCAGTGGCGCATTTAGCCGACGGGGTCCGAGAGCATCATCCTCTCCTACTTTGTTCGTTGGAGTCGTCCGTCCCACTCCAATCACTCCGGCCACTTTACAATGACAATGGCTCACTAGGCCCCTCCTAACATGCTATATTCGGCAATTGTGTCTATCAGACTATGGGGCCAAATTCCCCTTGAGGCAAAGCACACTTTACCCCGCTTGCACCCGGTCAATTCCTCGGTGAATGCTCGGAAGGGCCAGCAGTCTTCCATAAGAGACGTCTGAAGGATACCCAACACTCCTATTCACAGACAATCAATCAATGCAATCGAAGCAAACTTCTATTCAACATGCAGCTTCGGCACACATGTGAGTATAATCCTCCAGTCTCCCACTGCGCGCAATTCCAGTCAACGAAGCTAATGATTGACGTCACAGCCTCCGAAACGGCCTTGAAGGACATACTCGAGGAAGCCCGTCCTGACTTGACGCCATTCGAGGACATCTATCGTGATATTCACAGCAATCCTGAATTGTCCTTCTGTGAAGAACGCACGTCTGCTATTGCGGCGCAGCATCTGAAAGTCCTCGGCTACGAGGTACATACACACATCGGCGGCTACGGCGTTGCGGGCGTTCTGAAAAATGGTGCTGGTCCTACAATCCTACTTCGAGCCGACATGGATGCACTCCCCGTGCAGGAGAAGACAGGACTTCCATATGCGAGCACGAAAGTCGCCAAAAACAAGGACGGGGTCGAGGTCCCCGTAATGCACGCCTGCGGTCACGATACCCATGTTGTCAGCCTGATGGCTAGTGCTTCCCTCCTACAATCCGCCAGAACTCATTGGACGGGGACTCTGATTTGCCTATTTCAGCCAGCAGAGGAGCTCCTATCAGGATCCAGGGCTATGATAGACGACGGTCTCTATGACAAAATACCCGCCCCGGATGTGGTATTGGCAGCGCATGTGATGCCACTCAAAGCCGGCACAGTGAGCGTCCGTTCCGGTCGGCTACTAACCGCTGCAGATTCATTCAGTGTGCGCATCTTCGGAAAGGGCGGTCATGGTTCGGCGCCCGAGGCATGCATTGACCCCGTTGTTACCGGAGCTGCCATCATCTTGAAGTTGCAGACCATAGTAGGGCGCGAGGTGCCTCCGGGGCAACTGGCGGTGGTCACCTGTGGCTACATCCAAGCTGGTATCGCGGCCAATGTCATCCCGGATACCCTAGATTTCAAGCTTGATGTGAGGACATGCGACGACTCGATTCGCGACCGCGTAATACGTGCGATCAAGCGCATCATCCGCGCCGAATGTGAGGCGGCCGGCTGCGAGAAGGAACCGCAAATCGACCATGTCATGTCGACCCCGGCCACTATCAACGACCACGCTACCGTGCGAGCTTTATGCAATACATTCGGCTCTTACTTCGGAAAGCGACTCATCGAGTCTGATCCGGCAGGTGCCAGCGAGGATTTCTCCTTACTCGCTAGAGCCGTGAACGCGCCGTACGTGATGTGGACTTATGGCGGGATCGATCCAGAGACATGGGATAATGCAGTCAAGAATGACACTGTGAAAGATCTCCCGAGTAATCACTCGCCATTCTTCGCCCCAGTGATCCAGCCCACCCTCCAAACCGCCGTGGATGCCATGTCCCTCGGCGCGCTGACATTCTTGAAGCGAAATTGAATCTGTCACATAGCACCCGCCCTTCATAAATGAAATCAAACACGACGCCATGAAATGAATGCCAAACAACCCACACCATCCATCCCCACACTATCCCCACCCCCCTCACGACCTCTCCACCACACGGACCACAACCTTACCCCTCGCCCTTCCCCCGCGCAACTTCTCAAACGCCTTCGGCGCATCCTCAAATCCAAACACACTATCCAACACCACCCTCACCTTCCCCTCGCCAATCAACTCCCCCACCTTGGTCAAATCCTTCTTATTACTCTTCCAAAAGATCGGCACATACTTCATCCTCCCCCCACCCAAAAACCCCGGCCGAATAAGCCTCACCGCAATCGTAGGCATCCAGTTTGCCCCAACCTGGGTAAACACACCCCCAGAGACCATGAACTTGTCACTCTCGCGATACAGCTCCCACGGCTCCCCCACATGATCCACCACCAACCTAAACAACCTCCCCTTCGCCTTCACCACCT